GACACGGAGCGCTTTTCNCCTGCGGAGGCTACCACAACCAACCCTAACCCCCCCCCCCCCCCCTCCTCCCCCTCAACACGCCGCACTGTCTAGGATTAGAGTTGACCAATTTTAGGCGAGGATATTTGGATTCTCGTGCGTGGACTGGCTACAGGCCATTTAAGCTACGGACTATGTCCCGAATAGGAGAAACCTTTGTCAGCATTTCTGTCAGATCACCCGGGTAAAGAACAGCTACGCCCTCCGCGCACCAAAACCCTGCTTCCACCTGCCTACCTCCCCTCGCTGCGCTCCGTCCGGTAGGTGGCGGTGTCAGCAGGGTTTTGGTGCACGTCGGGCTTCGCTGAACAAGCAGTGTCGTGTCAAGGGTCCTGTAGCCTGCATCCATCCGCGTGGCGTCAGGGAAGATTGAATGCTTCAATTCACTGCTGCGACCAGGAATTGCCTAGCTAGCCCCTGAGATTCACAACGATGGACAAGACGTGGCTCGCCGCGCTAGAAAACACATTCGCTATAAATTCCTTAGGCTGGACGACTTGTTTCTTGCATTTCCGCCAAATGAAAGGCCCGTTGCCCAGTCCGGGCCCAGACCGAATCGCTGTATGCTACCGAATTGTTTATAATCTGGCCCTCGTATCAAAGATATTAGGGTGATACTTGCTGAAAACGGGAACCAAACCTGCTCTCCAACCCGGCGTGAGCATGCGGACCCCCTGCTAACCCCTTCGAGGCTTTACGAGATAAACGGGTGGCGCTTGATGACTGTGTCACATAAACAAAGAAAAATATAGGAGGATTTACGGGGTGGCTTTAATGATTGCACGTGGCACAAAAGAAGTACTGAGCAGCGTCGAGACAGGACAAAGGGAACAAAGTGAATAAATCCTAAATCTTTGGATTCACTGGGCTCGAAATAGCACACACTACGTGTTCCTGAGTCTTGTCTAGACCAGCTGGTTTAGCGTCTGCCGACCATTGCCACTCAGGCACCAAGCCACCAGAGCATGCAGGCGGTGCCTTCGCGAGGACACGGCGCGAGTCCGCAGGAAACCCCGTGTCGGTAGAGAAAATAGAAAAAAAAAAAAAAAAGTACCAGGAAAAGAATAAGCAAAAAGCGAAGTCTCCTCGTGGCAAGCCACTCGAAGCGTTTTGTTCGATCTCCGATAAATCGGAAGGTAATTGAAGCTACTTCGCTGGTTTGAAGACATGATGTGCTAGCTTATAAAGGGCGAGCGGTGCACACATCAATTCGACACAACCAGCCTCACTTTCACAGCCGACATGCGGGTGATCGCTTGTATGCGCCACAAGCCTAAATTGGCAACCAATGCCAATCGCCTGCTGTTCAGAATAGAAGACTGGCGGCACATGCATGGGCTTCACCATGTCCGCAGCAGCAGACAGCTGGAACCCCTCCATCCTCGCTGGGCCGGTGCCGGCTACATGGGATTGCATCTACACGCCCACCTTCTTCTGGTTGGCTCAGCCGCATCCTACTTTGCTGTCCCTGTCCGCAAAATTACAGCCGAGTCCAATAACACGTACGCGTCCACCCCCACGGTCCGGACCTGACGGACCAAGGCGGGTCAGCTGGCTCGCGTTGCGCCGTCCCCTCCCACTCTCTTCGTTACACGGTGCAATAAAACAGCGAAATAGATGTTGTAAGCGGCAAAAAAAAAAAAAAAAGAAAGAAAGCCGAGGCGCGCTTGCGCGGCACTGGTAGCACACCTGGTTCGCTGCGGCCGGGCGAGCGGGAATTCTAGCTTTGGGCAGGCAACGGCGGGCAACGACGACGACGAGGGCCGGGACTGGAGGGGGTCCCCCCGCTAATGCCAAATGCACATCTCGGCCGAGGGGTTTGAACAACTGGGCATCCTCACGGTCTGGCCCTCAACACTGACAAAAAGAAGGGCTTATGTGGACGCGCAAGCAGGCCGAGTTGACCCGCACAGGACGCAAAGTGCAGGAAATATCCCTCTCCGGACATGGCGCCATCTCGCCGGTACACTGCACGGTTCTTTCACAGCGAGCTTTGTTGTTGCGTCCTTTTTGGCCGTGATGCATGGCATGCCTGCCACTGACGTTGCACAACAGGGATGGGAGGTCTTGAAAGACTTCCGGGCCGGCTGGCGATGCTATTTTCTCCTCCTAACTTCTCTACCCTGGTCTGTAAGGCGGTAGGATTCTTCCTCGTAGGATGGACTGTTCTTTCTTTGTCTCTTGACTCTATGGGTTCATCACCGGCCGGCAATCTTCAGTAAGCGCGTCATTTATGCATACAGCCATCGAGGAAGTAGAAACAAGTGGTGTAGACTTACACCAAGGGCGCCTGGTGTAAGCACCAACAGTGGCTTTCGCGCGCCGCACACGCACACAAGCCGCCTCGCCTCGTAAATGCGAGCGGACGGCCCCCAAGCTCACCAAGCACTTGCATTGGGGCGGTGATATTTTTGTGTCGCTTGTGCGAAGTCGCGCTCCCAACAAAGAGCGGGAAAAAGCAAGCACCGGGGCTGGGCTCGCGAGACCAGCGGCCTCAACGCCTTGCGCACGGCTCAGGTGGCTGGCGTTTAAACATGCCACCACCATTGGCCTGCTCGTTCGCATTTTGACAGCTCGCTCACTTACTCTCCTCGAAAATGGCCTTCCGCAGGTCCCCAAGTAGCCGGTAATGGGTGATGAGGCCAGCGGAGCCCGCACAGCCCACATCCGACCCGGGGAGTGTCGAGGCGCACATGAGCCATGGTCAGCAATTGAGGCTCTTTTCCCCCGGTCTGTGTCTCGTTGACGGTTTCTGGACAGAGCGTTGCTGCACAAGGAGAGCTATGGGGTCGGTTGGGGGGGTCGAGATGTGACCTGCCAACGACCGAGGGAAAATTAAAAACTAAGAATAAAGGAAGATAAGCATTGGCTGAGAGAGTAATGGGCATCGTCAGCTCCTGCGAGTTCCGGATAAAGTAAAGACAGGGGATGGAGGAAAGGAAGTAGGAAAGGAGTGACTACCATGACCATATCCATCTACCAAATGGAGGTCGCATCTCGGAAGACTGGCAACTGGCAGAGTGTGATGGCGTCGTGGGAGATCGCCAAGCCACTGAGCCTTTTGGTTCGTCACAATTTTGCTTCTTCCTTCTTCCCCTACTAGCTCGTTCTTGCTATGGGAATCCCAACATTATGTTTCAATCTTGGTCAGCTATAATAAGCTCATATATAACAAAAAGTTGCGTAATTTTGACCTGTTATCTTATGTCAAACGCGATGAGCAGGTGCCGTGTTTGGATAGAGCGTTGTACTCAGGCATCTCTTTGCTTCCTTTTGCTCTCAGTCCTTCATCTATTTGCCGTCTTGGATGCAGTTGGATGGCATTCAACTCTTCCCCCTTCTGTCCTCGGACGAGATTGGGACTGAGTGCGTGCCAACAGATGCTGGTTGACTTGTCCCAATGGCAACATGGACGGGCGATATTGGAGCATGGTTTGGACGGGCGCGAGCGGCCACATGGGCTGGAACGAGCCCTGCTGGGAGGCCAATGCGCGGTAGCGACAGGGCCGGACATGTGGAAGACTGCAGATGGTTGGTTCTAGACGGGCGCGTTTTGGGTTGCCTTTGGGGGCGGCCAGACGTGCACGGCTTCAGGCAGTGCCACGCCCGCCGATGAATCACGCTAAGCTTAATAAATTCCGCGTGATGAGCTGCGCGGCAAGAGTGGTGAGACCGTATCACCCATTCTGCGCACCCCTCTTCTCTACAGACAAGTCTCTAGGGCCATGGGTTTGCGTGGCCGGTGATGTTAAAAACAACGGGGGCACGAGGCAAGATGATGCCAAGGCAAAGAGAAAGAAGACCAAATAGAGAGCATGTCGATAAAAATCGAAATTAGCCTTCCGGTCCTCGGCGGCACCTGGCACAAGGCAAGGCTCAGCTCCCCGGCGGACATTTGGCAAAGAACAGAGTCGAGTAAGTGTCCCGACAGAACGAACACAAACAGCAAGCTCTCTCCCGAGAGACCGTCAGGTAGCACGGCACATACGCAACGGGACAATAATGCGACCCCAGAGGCGAGCGGGCGGAGATGTCTCGACTCGCGGAGAATGGAGAAAGAGGGGAAAGAAGCAGGAGACAGCCCGGGTCCTACGTCGGCAGACTGCCCGCGACGCCTGCCCGTGCGTCATCGTCGAAAGAAGGTGTCTTGGGCGCCGGGAAGAGGGGCGAACGGGGCGGAGAGCTTGCCGGTCTGCTTGACTCGGAGGAGCTTCGTACGTGACCAACAAGAAAGAACTGTGCTGGCTGGCAGGTGAAGATAGCGTCATGAATCCCTCCTCTCTCTGACTTGGGCCAAGTGCTACCTCTGGGAGCAGCCGAGGTCGAGTTTGGAGGGGACTGGTTCGCGAGAGAAAAGTCGCCAAAGAGAGCGAACACCACGGTGCGACCAGACATGAGGCGGGGCTAGCTAGCGGGATGCAGAGCAGAAACAAAGACTGGGTCAAACAATAAACACGCCCCCTTCCTTCCTTCCCCCCACTCCTCGTCGTCTGCCCAGATTCACTCAGCTGCAGCCCGACACGATCGGTTCACCGGCCGATGGGATATCCGACGACATGGTGAGGCGAACGTTTATCAGCTTGTCCGAAGCGCAGCTGGGCGCGCGCGGCGGGCCTGCTGTCATTTCGTCCATTCCCCCCCCTCTCCTCCGGGGACCAAGCCAAGAGGGTAGCAGAATCGGCAATACACAAATCGCATTCCCACTCTGGCGCATGAACCTGGGCCGTGTCCCGAACATCGGTTGAAACGGCAAAGCCAGAAAAGAGGGCCCAAGGGTACCTACAGTAGCTTCGCCCTGCTGCTGCTGCCAACGGCGGCCTCAGCGGAACAATGGCTAACCCCAACCTTGACGCTGACAGGCGGCCAACGACCTACATATGCTTCTGCGAGCGTGAATAGCAGGTTGCCTTGGACGAACATAGCATGAACAATAACACTCACTGGGCCGAAGGAGTGCATTCGGTGGTCTATGTTGAAAGGTAACGTCAGCTGTGCTCAGCCCACCCCGAGGGCAGCCAAGCATGAGGGGGTGAGATGCTGGTTGGTTAGTTGGCTGCGGAGAAAGTAAACACAGCCACGACCTACCAACTGCCGAAGAAGGCAAAGAAGGCACATATCAACTCCCCCGCGAGCTGGACCAGCCCGTTCGTCATCATCGCCTGCCTTTGGCGCATGCGGCCTTTGATTGAAGTCCATCATTTTCCTTCTCTCTTTTTCGGTTCAGTCTCTCTCTCCCCTCGCTCTTGCACTGCCACGCCCGCCCGCGCGTGAATCCATGGGCCGGTGCTTCGGCGGCCGGGAAGAAGGTGTGACGCTGGGAAGCCGCGGACATGGATGATGCCGTCGCTGAGGTGTGTGTGGACACCCACCCGTGGGCACAAAATCCCTGGACACGCATCCATGGGCGCTGGGTTGGCGACCTTGTTCCATCGACGCCCCACCAGGCACAGACAGCTCCACGGCGCAGACCCCACCCGCGGTCCGCGCACCCCCCCCGCCCGGCCAGGCCGGGATCCCCACTCCAGCCAGCGTGCCAGCCCTTGCAACCGTCTTTGCGTCCCAAAAAAGCCATCTGAAACGTCGAGCCTGGTAGGTACCTATCCGCACCCCCCGGTCTTCACGAGCCAATCGCAGCCCAGAGCAGGTCTGGGCTTGATCCACAGGCACGCCCCCTCCTCCATGGCCCCATGCTTCCCCCAAGAAAATCGTCCTGCCACCACCGGGGTCGCTGAACCCTACGACGACGATCGGACCAGAGGAAGCTCCTGATTGACCAGCTAGACCGGCTGACTTGTCCCAGTCCGGAATTGGAAGAACAGGCGGCGCCAGATGGGAGGGAAGAGGGACCAAAAAATGACAGGCACGCTACGACGCAGTGCTACCCTAGGAATAGGCAGGTTGCCACGCTAGGAATAGGTTCGGCAGAGAGAGCTTCTGCTGCAGGGCGAAGGTTAGATTTGGGAGATAGGCAGTTGTCACGAACAACAGAGCATGAACCGGGCCGCGATACCTGGTACTCAACGTCCAACACAAAGCCCAGCACAACCTAATGCACGCGCACCCGCGCGCAAACGATACCGGCGCCAAGGAGGAGGGGGGCTGGGCATGAAGCCGGGTGTTTTCTGCTGGGTGATCAGTGAGGGGAAAGACTGCAAATCCCAAACCCCGGGTTCGGGCAGGACCCAAGCAGGGAGGAACTCCATTCCGAGCCCATCACGTTTTCGATTTTTTTTTTGGATTGTTCTTTCCGGCGTACTGCTCAGATGTTGTAGGTGCGTCTCTCCCCGTGAGATGTGGTGGGGACGAACAAGCATCCGAGCCATCTTGACTTTCGTCGCATCCCCGGCCGGGCTAACACCCGAGAGCTACCTGTCCCCTTTGGCCCCCTTCGTCCGTTCTCGAGCCCCTCTCTCGCTCGCGGGCCCCTTGGCTTACATCCATTTACGGACTCGTGCGAGTCCTGCCTGTCACCGAGCCTCCTAGTGACTTCCTTTCTGACAACAGGCGGCCGCCGAGCGGCCACGATCGCGTCCCCTTCGTCACCACCAGCCGCACGATTATGGCTAGCGCAGGTGGCTTATATGAGTTGTCACTATCACGGACATGTTTCCGGAGAACACAACAGTCCTAAGACAAACAGAGACAGGTAGGCGAAGAGCAAGGAGGGGCATCGGAGAGGAAACGAGTAATTCAAACATCGGGGACAGGAGAGAGAGAAAATAACGCCACAGCTAGCCGGGCAGCCGAGTTTCGCGTAGTTCGTCTCTGTTTGGTCTCTCGGTTTCGGTATTGTCACTGCGTTACGTCACAGACGTCCTCGTCGTGGAAATGTTCCTTGATTGTCAAGGTGGTTGCATGGTGCGGCGTGCACAATTCAAGTGCAAGAGCCGAATAACAGACATCCGTGGCACGAGCAAGCCTTTTGTACAGAGCGCCTTTTATATATATTTTTATAGCAAGCTAACTGGCCGCGACGATACGAGTCGGTTCAGGTTCATGGCGTCACATGGATTCCCCAGGCCAACTCTGTTGATATGCCGGCTTTCGGCAAAGCCATGATATTCCCTAATGGGAAAGCATTGCTACCTTGCGGCAGACACCAGAGCCGCCTGTGTCAGGCCCGTCCCACTGAACCACGCCGTGGCGACCCAGCGGAGGATAGTCGCATTCGATGTCTCAAGAATTTGCCCGATGATGGGTCCCGTCCCGCCTTCAGAATGTTCTCTGCGTCTTCTGCAAGCGCTTCCAAACCTGCTGCCGTGCTAAGCGTCCCTAGAGAGTTCCTTCCTCCCCCACCGGTCTGCCAGATCTTGTCGTCTCCTTCTCAAAACGGACAATGGCTCGTCCGGGTGGTGGCTTCCCTTCAAAGCGGAAACGCGAACCCACCGTAGTCGCTCCATGGGTAGGCTCTGATTGGACAGACGCGCTGAATTGTGGGTGTCAGGGGCTAGCGATGCGACCGCACCAACCATTCTGGGGTGGGCTTAACGTTTCTAGGGGACATCAGGCTGTCTGACATGGGAACCGTGGGAACCGCAGGGTTACATTGGAGATTTTTTATTCTCCGTCGATAGCATGTCAAATCGTCAAATCTCCCCTTCCCGCGATTCCCGCCCCCGGGAGATTTGGCAAAAGGCCTAGAAAAAGCCATAGCGAATGCCATCCCCGATCTTGGCCCTTGGGCCAAGCGGCGGTCGAGCCATTGTGTCAGCGCACATGCCTCTTCTTGTCGCTAGCGCGAGAGAGAGGGAGCGCCATCTGCCGCTTCACCTACGAGTGGACGGCCCGGCCCTACAGCGCGCGCGTGCGCAGCAGTGCTCGGAGCCCACGGACATCAGATGCCTGCCCGTCCTGCTCCCCATCCTGGCTTCGGATCCTCGTGTGGATTGGGAAAACACAGCGGCCTGGCTAGGTACCACCGGCCTGCCGGCTTCCTCTCCATTGCGCGCTCTCTGCCCCTGGCAAAAGACAACAAAAAGAGAAAGATGGCGGCCGACATTTGCCGGCTCGACGCACGACACCGTCTAGGAGGGAAAGCAAGGGGAAAATCCCCCGTGGATATGGCGCTGCTGCTATCGTTGCATTGGGAGCCCTGCAACTGCCCGTGGACCACTCGCAAGTCGCCGTCGGTTGCGCCGGCCGGATCCACTAGACTAGAGGGGACTGCCAGACACGCCTCTCTTTCCCATGTTTTTTTTCTTCCTATCTCCCATGATCCTCTTCTCTCGCTTTTTGTTTCTCTTGTTTCTTCTCCAGCGTGCCCAGTCTTAGCTGTCATGGAGGAGTGCATCCGCTTAACTTCTCGCTTGCCTGACAACGCGTTTACCACAACGAGAATCCATGGCCAAATAGCACAGTTGCAAATGCTAGCTGAGGCTCTCTGGGTCGCTGCTCAGGACCCCTGGTTGACACTGTCCCCGGAAGGCCCCCAAGTGTCCACTCTTTTCCTCGAAGTTTCAAGCCCCATCCATCTCGGGTCTCACCCCGTGGATCCTCTGCAAGCTGCGCCTCAGTGCCTTCGCCGCAGAGCCCTGGGTCGCCTCTTAGGGCCTACCCGGCTTGACAGTCTTGCGGCAGCCAAAAAGCTTGGGGCTCTTTGTCTTGTGTGTTTTCATGCTCGAAGAAGAGCAGCTAGCACAAAACGCCCGTTGGGCGGATCAAGTTGGGCTTAGAGCGGAGGCGGCTCAGCAGAGGATGAGGGATGACAGGACTGCCCATGTGTCCTCACCAGACCCTAACTGAACGGCAGACATCCTGCCCTTGCAATGAAGGCCCAAGCAAGCAGCCCGCGCTTTCATCTGCTCGCCCCTCGTGCTCACAAGCAGACCCGCTGGTCTCTCGCCTTCTCTCTCATCGGCAAGGGGGGCCGCCCGTTGCAGCGACCCGAACTCCCCTCTCTCCACCCCAGCCAAGGAGAAAACCCAGGCGGGTCTCATCCGGATACACACCCCTGCGAAGATCATTTGGTTCAGACGAGGAAATCTGACGCCATGATCGACTACCGAACAGACCTGACGCGCAAGGATGCCTTGCTAGACAGGTTGCACCGCATACCTACGCTCAAGACTCGGGTACGGCTTTCCACGCCACCACCACACACGCACAGGTTTCTTCTTGATAGGCTGGCTTCACGAGTTCGGGGATATTTTTTTTTTTGGTCGCTAGTCAGTGGCACAAACCCGGATGCACACGCCCCTCCACCATCACCTCGCCGCACGCGACTCTCTCTGCCTGCGCGGCTTGCTTTCTATGCCTAGGCGCACCTCCCCGGGTGTCTTTTTTGTTTCTGGCCGGCTCCTCAAGCCTGCGACGCGCTGAGTCTGCCAGTCCTGACAGGTTGGGAGATCCAAGTTGGACCGGTTGAGGTGCCCAAAACACCACCGCTGCGGGGGAACTCTAAACAAGAATTGCCAAACTAACGACTTGACGAGTGCATGAAGCCAAGACCTCGTTTCTTTGTCCGATACTATTCCGTTCTGGGGCAAGGCCTCAAGTCTCGAATTTCTCCCGCTCTCTCCATCTATCTTCCTCGGCTACTGTTTGCATGGGGATCGCACGCGCCGTTGAGACCTAGCAGGCAAACCATGCGGCTGTTGATGGCGCCCGCCGGATTGCACGCGGGGATGCCTCAGTACACCCTCCAAGCCCTTCCCCTCATTCTTCTTCTGTCAACTCCCTGGCTGGCTCAGGATACCGTTTTTCCCCTGCGAATCTTAGTCTTCAAACCCTCATCCCTGCAGCGGCGACCTCTGTGGAAACGTGACTGCGGCTCCCCTGCTTCGGTATTTGGAAAAACTTGGCCCACGCCCCCCTTGTCCCCTGGTCGTCAACACCCCCGCTGTTACAGCCAAGGTGCGCTGCTAGCCGGGGTTGTTGCTGCGAGGTCGTTGCGGCGGGCTGTCCTTTGACCCCTCGCCTCGCGCCCTCGCATGCGTGTTTGTGTGCACGAAATGGGTCCCCAACTTCTTCTTCTCCTGCGCATGGGTTGAGATGTGGTGCGTAAGGTGTGTCTGTATGCGTGTACGTGTGTATGTGTGTGTGTGTGTTGTGTGTACGAAGTCCATGTGCGAGCGAGCCTGCGTGTGCATGTCGGCCTGCGTGAGGGTTCTCCTTGGTATGCCTTTCCCTCCCCTCCCCTGAGACGGTGCACAGCCCTATCACGACACCCCCAGTCTCCTTTCCGGTCCTCCCACCTCGTCCTAACTTTTCGTTTCTTCTTACTTTTTCGTTCCCCTCTTGTGTCCTCTGAGCCCATCAGTCTCGTCGCCTTCGCTTCCTCGGATCGGCAGGCCCTCCTTGTGATAGCGGATGCCAACCCCTCCTGTCCTTGCAACACCCCGACCAGCCACGGGGGTCCGGCTTCCACCATTGACGACTGGGTTCAAACCGTGCCGACACCGACCTGGTGTCGATGTTCGGTCTTTGAGACAGCATCCTTTCCGGCTGGCCCTTGTCTCCCGATCCTCGCCCCTCCCCCCCTGGCGCATATTTCTTGTCTTTTTTATGTTTTATGTCTTCTTTATTCTTCCTTCCTTCTCTCTTGTTTTTGACGGATTATTATTTTATCTCTCCAGGAGACTGGACGATCTGAATATAGACGGTGGGCCGCCATAACCAAAGCCAACACCGTCCTCCTCTTCGCCTCCAAACAGGACCGTCCCAAGATATCGTGCGACAACTCAACCGCCTTCCAGGACATCTCGCAGCTTCTCTCATCCTTCCGGCTCGGTCGCATTCCGACGCATCGAGGTAGCGAGCAGAGCCAACTGCAGGTCTCCAACCAAGTTCGCCGTCTATCACCCGCCCTTTGGGACGGCTTGAGCAACGGCGCTGGATCCCGCCATAGGTGTTTCGCGTGTTTCAATCCCGAGGCGGGACTGTCAGTGCGACTCTCAAACGTCGACCCAGTCGACAGGTCTGATAATCATATCGGCCGGGGCTGCTTTGATATTGGGCCCCATCTGTCTCCCCTCCCTCGCCTGGTCCACAGAACAGACCCTCCGATCTCCCACCCGTACCCGCTTCCCTAGACACCCTATAAGCTCTTTAAACTCCCTTGGACGTGCGCTCTGTTCTGTCTTGGGACGCCCACTCGCAGCCGGGCCACACATACTTTCGGAGCCTATCGTCTGAGCATTACACGCCCTGAACCCAACCCCGCATGGTACCGGGTCGCATTACTAGTCTGCGCGCGCTGGGAGGAACAGGCTGGATTTTGTCTCCTTATCGAGGTCAGGGCATCGACGACCGCAGCAGCAGAAGAAGCAACAACATCAGAGGCCACACACACCGGCGACGACGACGCTTCTTCTAGAAGCACAGTACAAAGGCACGACAGTACCAGGGTACTTGCCACCACAAACACCGAGAATAGCTGATTGCTGGAACGCGCACGCGTAGCCTCGCGCGCTTGTCTGTCGGGTGCTCGACGACGACGAAGTCTACGACTGGACCTGGCGGGGAACCGACGGGCGCCGCTGGAAGGACTCGATCTGACGATACGGGGTTTATCCTATTTCTCCGACTCCGCATACCCAAAAGGGCTGTTAGCGGGCTCGTATATTTCTTCGACACCTCGCAGGCGGGACCATACTGGAGCCTCCGCTCCGGACCTTCATAATATCACACACAACCATGGATGTGACAGCACTGCTGAACTCGGGCGCCAAGCTCGGCCAGCTGAGCCAGATGGCGCAACTAGCACAGCTGGGACCGCGCGGGGAGCCCCTAGACCTCACACCGACGCCGTCAGTGATCAGCAACACCACAGCAGCCTCGACAGGGGTTGCGACGCCACCACCAGAAAAGTCCCCCTCCAGGAGCAACAGCGAGTCCAGGACACCCAACCGGAGCAGGACACCGTGGGATGCCGGCGGCTACTCGCTGCCCCTGACCCTGGACACCAAGATGATCCGGACGCGCCTGATGGCCAAGTCGGTGCTGTACGGCGACTCGCCGCCGGGCGAGCACCACCCGGACAGCAACAGCCCGTCGTCGCCCAAGCACAAGTTCTCTGACAGCCGCAGCAGCCTGAGCTCCTACACGACCACGTCGTCAAACAACTCGGGCTCGCACTCGAGGATATCATCCCTGTCGACCGTCAGCGAGTTCCAGCCCATGACCAGCCTCATCACCGACTTCTCCTCGCTCGAGGCCAAGATGTCGGACGAGACGGAGCGCCAGAGCCTGCACAACAGCAGCGCTAGCAGCGTCATCCACGGCGGCGACGCTGTCATGAGGTCAGGGCTCGGGAACGACGACGGGATGCTCGGCGCGGGCGGCATGGGCGGCGGCATGATGGACGGTCGCCTCCAGCAGCCGCTCTCGCCGTACAGCATGAAGCTCGAGGTCCCGGGAGACTCGGGGACAAGCCACTCGAGCGAAAACGAGTCGATTTCGGAACAGCAACGCTCCGACAGGGCCAGGTCGCCGTCGGACGCCATATTATTCACGAGCAACAACGCCCAGCCGCCTCGTGGGCCGGTTGTGGAGACTGGAAGGTGAGTGACTGAGCATTGCTGTTTATTGAATAGTGGTTTTGGCCACAGTCAGTTTGCCCACCCTCCACTTGGGGGGGCCCGTGGGATCCACCTGGTCCCTGAGGCTCTGCCCTCGCTGCACTGCACCCCCTCCCAAAGCGGGTATCTCGTCAGGCACTGTCACCTCTTGGAGAACGGCAAGTCACCGTTCAGACTTCACTGGACTGAGCAGGGGCTGGCCGTCGTGGACGAGATTCTCTTGACCCGGTATCCAAAGTCTTAAGCACTCTTCCCGCTTCCTCCCCCTGCTCTCGGATGGGCGCCTTGTCTTCACTGTCAAGTGTCTCCCGCTCGACCAGTCCGGATTTGCACACAACCAACCGCGTTCCTCCACGCGCTCGGCACCGCCTGGGAAGCCAGTTAGTTTTCAGATCCTGCTCAAACCTTCCCTCTGCCTCACCCACCTCTCTTCCTTTTGACAGCACCGCACAACCCGCACACCGAGAAAACAACAAACCCCAAACAAGAACGAAACTGCCCACCTCCTACCACACTCTCCCTCTCTCAACCTCGCACACTTCCTGCCACCGTCACACCTGCACCTGGACCACAATCAAGACCGCACGTAACGGCTCATATCGCCTTGATCATCATCTAAATATATTCATTCCCGGTACAGACGATCCATCGATCCGTTCGGAGCAGGTTATCAGCCTGGCCACAAGAGGGCAGTATCCGCACCAGACTTTCCGTCGACGGTCAGGACAAGATATCAGCCGCCCGTCGGGTTCGCAGCCCCGATCGTGGAGCCTCCTTACTCCCCTAACGGATTCTATCAACAATCCTTCTCCATGGGCGACAACCAGCCGCGCCGTCCCTCGCTCACCGAGGAGGACGACGCCTACGCCGAGGACCCTTCGGCATCCGGCATGCAGACTGAGCATGCGTCTCATGGCAACGCCGTGGCCTCTTCAGCACACGTCGAGGACTGGAACGACGGCACCGATGACTCGAACGACAGTGCCGTTCGCGCCATGAACGACGACGCCCTGTGCGAGGCATCCGATTACGAGGACGGCAAGCCCTCTCGTTGTCTCTGGGGAAATGTGCCCTGCGATACCGGCTCCCAGCTCCGAAAGGCTGTTTCGCACATCTTCGGCCGCAATAAGCTCTGCACGCGTCAGATCCCAGACCTGGCGTGGGTGCACTTTTGTCGGAAGCACTACCAGCGCGCCCGTTATCGACTGGGCCCTAACTATGCCCTGACACAAGTGCGCCTCGTGATCCGGCAGATCAACAAGATCCGCAAGTGGAGCGACCACAACGTCGCCAACGGCAACTCTTCCGGCGTCGTCAACAGCTGGAGGATCCAGCTCCGCAAGCGTGAGGAGCGGAGACAAGAGACGAAGGGGCAGACGAAGAAGCGCAGCCGCGGCGATGATGACGACATGGGCGGAATGGATGGCATGGACGGCAACGAAGTAAGTGATTAGAGAGCAGTGATATAAAGATATCTTGGAAGCTTACTAACCTACTTGTCTCCACAAGGATGTCAAGGCCGAACAGCCACCGCAATGGCTCATTGAGAAGGTCGGCGACGGCTACACAACCGAGCAGGTGCTCAACGTTGCCTGGCGTCTCAAGGAGGACCTGCACAACAAGCTCTACACCAGGATCCCGGATGTTGAGATCCTTCCGAACATTACATCGGACCGGACCGAGGAGGCGAAGCCTCGCGCCAAGGCCACGCGTCGGAATGCCCCGGCCGGCCAACCTCTCCGGAGCGCCCCCAACCGGTCCCGAATGGGACCCTACGCCGGATACCAAGGCCACCGCTCGACGCTTAGTGAGTCGGCGCGCGGAGGCATGGGTCATCTGGCGGACATGGCTTCGTTCTCTGGCTGGGACAGCCCGGCTAAGCGCCAGCGCGGTCAAGAGTACGACAACAGCCAACTCAGCCGCCCCTGGATGACGCAGCAGGCCACGGCGACCCTCCCCATCCGCCCGGCACAGGACCTGGGCTCGTACGCAACCCCGATGGCCTCTGGCGCCTCGGGCTACAACTATATGTCGAGCATCCCCCAAGCCCGTGGATCAACTGGCTACGCAGTCCAGCCCGGCGGTTGGGGTGCCCCGGCCTCGACAAACACTGGCTCGTACGGCAGCAATATGGGCTTCGCTACCCAGCCCCAACTCAGCCCCGTGCCGACCAGCGCTGCAGGGCAGCCTCAACATTCCCCTTACTTCGCGGGATCTGGCTACGCTACCACGCAGGCGCAGCAGCAACAACCATCGCCGGCCTTCTTCGGGACCGGCGCATACGGCAACACAGCAACCGCCTCGCAGAGCGCGCCGCGTGGCATCTACGACGGCTGGGGAGGCTACGCCCCGCAGCAGCAGCAGCAGCAGCAGCAGCACCACGGCGCCAACACGGCCCGGAACGCGCAGCACCAGCAGCAGGCGGCTAGAAGCCACCAGCGCCACGTCAGCGCGCCCTGGCCCAACTCGGGCATGATGGGGGGTAGCCAGAACAGCTACCAGTTCGGCGGCGCCGCGGCGGCGATTCCGCAGTTCACGGCGGGCCCGCCTATGGATCCGGCCCTGCTCGGAGGCTCGCAGCAGAGGCGGTCGTCGCTGCCGCACAACGCCGCCGCGCCCACCGCGCCCATGATGTCGGCGCCGCAGGCTGGCGCTACCCAGCCCCAGGCCGGTACGGGCAATGAGCACAACACGGGCTACGACATGAGCCAGCACCAGGCACACCAGGCGCACCTCCATAACCCCAACGCCCGATACGACATTGGTCGCCGCTAAGCGGCCACCCATGGCTGGGGTCCGCTTCTGGGCGCTCTCGTCGGCTATCTTTGCCGTCTGCTGCGTCGCTGTTGTCCATCACCAATCCCCGGCCGCTTACGGGTTTCGGGCGTTCGTTCTCTGCCCCAGACCTGAAACCCGCCAAAAGGGATACTTTTCATCCCGCAAACGCGACAATCTCTTGGGCTACCATCCCAGGCGAAGTGGACGTGCCAATCACGCCCGTGCACCTGCTGGGAAACATATACCGACGGATGAGCGGACCCCACTTCCCTCCCCCTCCCTCCCATCTTCTTTTCTACCTTTCTCTTTCCCAAACAAAAGACAACAGCAATACGACGGTTTCTGCGATACGGCACCAGATTCACCCTCTTTCCTCGCAGAGACCACCCCCCTTTTCCTTCTCATGTACAAATTAGCCCCGACAATTCTGCTGCTTTTTTTTCTTTTTTTTTTTTTCCGGTTTGGGGGTCCATGAAATCGGCAGCGGCACAGGCGTCTGGTTTGCTCGGCCCGGGCATGGGCAACGATCGTCTCACATTCGCTGTATATTTTACCTCTACGACCCACTCGCTTTCCGCTTTTCCCTTGGTGGGACTCTACCGGCGTTTTTTGTTCTTTCCCTTTAATGGACGCAGGAGCACTGCCCAAAACACGATGATTTCCGTTTCCTTTGTTCTGTCACAGTTACTTCCCGTTGTTGCAAGGCTCGGCAATGGGGCTCAGGGAAGCCTCCTTTTTGCTTCTTTGTTCCGATTCTGGGGAAAAAAAAGGGGAGATGGGGGGTTTGCCAACTTGGGGGACTGGCGTTTGGTAGTTAGATCAAGGGCTTTAGGTCGGTAGCCACAAAAAAAGGAGCCGGATCATCGGCTATGACTTTTCACCAGCATCGTTGTGCCTGTGCCTATTTGCTAACATGTGGTGTAGATGTGGAAAGTTCAGAGGTGCAAGTTCTCCACCAGGCTATAGCCAACATTGCCTTACACCAGGGTTGTCCTCTCTGTCCCCGATCTCGACCGTTTTTGCTTCCGGATTCATTTCTTCCCGACATTTCCCTCGGGCCAGCCTTTCCTAGACGAACCGGGAGGGAAGGTAGGACACCGTTTCTCTCATCCCTCCCCAGCAAACGTCAGCTGATCCTCAAGGATGTCTGCCACTCGACGCCAGCAACCAGAAAAGGAAAAGACTCCGTCCAGACCGTCGTCTACAAGCCTCCTCGATGGCGGTACATCGCATCCCCTCGTGAGGGATGGGCAAGCCATCTCGTCTGTCTTTGGTGACCTTGCCCTACTCGCTGCGTTCTCGTTCGATGTGTGATGGGCTGGCCGTCCTCGCTCTATCCGGTCGACCGCCCGCCTAGTTGGGGCACACGCACTTCCACACCACCCACCCAATCTATTTCCATTGCAGCCTCAACCCTAGAACGGCTCCGGCCTCTGTCGGACCGAATGCCACCAATGAGGGGGCCGGATGCCCGCCTCCTCTGAGCTCGGCGGCGCTCGTTTGCTGGCCACACACATCGGGAATACCGTGGTCCGAAGCACTCAGTCAAGCCCCTCCCCTCACACCTTGGCCCTCTCACTTTGCTTTTGCCACTCGACGGCATAACAAAGGAATGAGCAGGCGTATGGCGAGAAAGGGGTGAGAACAGGGGCATTGAAGGAGACGAGGCGGTGATCTGACCGGTGATTGAGAGGTGCGCTCTGCCATAATGCCGGCCAAGCAAGAGGGCATACCAACAGCACGCACAAGCGCGCACGCACGCACGCGCACACGCACCTTGGGCCTCGCCCAAAGGGTTAAAAAAGCAAACAAGTGTGGGCTATGCACGTTCAAAGGGAGGGTGAGCGGTGCGGACAGGGAATTAGGGTGTGTGTTCAAGCTGACGCTAGGCATCGAGGGATATGCCTTCCAACGCCGCGAGGTAGGCGTCGAGGGCGTTGATTGGTGACAGACAGCGAGGAAACTGGACTAAAATAAAAAGGAAAGAGAGAGCAGGCATCAGCTGGCCATATCAACGGCTGCGAGTGGATGACAAAGGCCCGAAAGGGTGTTGGGTACGAGGCACACGCAAGCAAACGGCGAGAATTGCGATGAACCACAACGGCATGACCGGGAACAGACTTTTGTTATTCCTTCTTTTTAAACCTCCTGGCCCCCCACCTTTTCTTCTCCGATGGGGAGCACCGAGGACGGATGATGGGTGTTCCGATTTCTATTTTATCTCAGATTAGCTTTCTTTTCTTTCTTTATTCCCGTTCTCCTCCTATCGTTGCTGCCGTTGCCCACAGGCCTTACCCATCACGGACACTCACAGCCACACACCCATCCCCAGGCATCACGTGTGAAGAAGCTCTTCATTTCGATCGCCACCGCACTGACGGCTCAACGGCGGTGGCAGCAGGGTTGTCCCGAATCTAGGTCTCTAACCCGGTTTGCCTCTGAGCCGTCACCAGTGGGGGCGGTGATGATATGGTGGTGGGAGGAGTGAAGAGGTGGGCGCCTACACTCGGACGGTTGTAGACAGTGGATTCGATCAATGTTCTCCAACCTGCCTAGGGCGGTGGCTCGAACGGAGCTGACCCTAGACGAGCTGAAAGAAGCTGATCTCTTCTTTTCTCAAACGTTTTTCTTACAAACAATATCCCAGGTGTGGAGGCGTCAGTGGGACACATTGTCGTCGATCCGAACCCGTCCTAGTCTCTAAAAAGACATGAGGGGAAGAGAGGCGGATGGGCAGGGAGGAGGAACGCGAGGGTTCCATTCCCTCCTCTTGCTCCCGACTCGGGTGAGGAACGGTATCGTATTTCGCGCCGCCGCTTCTTCCGCAGGTGCCGAAAGGCCATACCTCACAGCAGCGCCCTGGCTGATACCGCCACATGCATGTCGGCTGTGAGGCCCCGGGTTGAAGCCAGCGAATGGAGGGGGGGCTGGGGGCTGGGGGCAGGGGAGTGAGGGGATTGAGAGTGGGCAAGAGCAACCGAAACTATGATAGCGGCTAGGTCAGAATCGAGGTAGGGTCGCGGGCTTAGGCGTCGGCGGCGAGGCTCGGCTCGCGTAGCACTAGCGGGTGGTAGTAAAGATAGAGTACCGGGCGGGTATGTAGATCAACGGCATGTTGCGGCACATGTGATGGTCGGGGCGGCAGCGGCGAACGAGGCGGCAAGTCGACACTGACGATGTGCTGCGGGGGTGTTAGAGTTGGGTCTGTCTAAATTGCCATCGCCACCGTCACCCGAGCAAGGGTCGGGCAGACTGTCTCTTCGGCCTCAGATGCTCTTGTTTTCCCTCAGCGTTTTGCTGGCCTCCCCTGTTCCCTGCTTGTCCTGTACTCGCTGACCATCACCTCCTGCTCTTTTGGGCTCTCCGAACGAGCGAGCCGAACTGCTCATCTGCAAGAGCCGAGTCGGGAAGGCCACGCCCCCCGTGGCCCGGCCGTCTTTGTGCGGACACGGGAGGGTGGGGGGAGGGTGCGAATACCTGCAAGGGAGGCTTGCCGACGACCGAGGAGGATGTGATGCATGCAAGCCCAAGCTTTTCGAGCGGTCGGGGGCAAGCGAGCGAGCGAGCGAGCGAGGGGTGTGTGTGTTTGTGTGTCTGTGTGTTGTTCTCACTGCTATCGTGTGGTTCTGTATCGCACGTTGGCATTTTGAGTGTGCAAAAAGACGGAAAATGACGAGGCCGCTTTAAAGCCGTCAATAGAACTCGAAGCCAAGTCTTGGCTCTCCCTTTTTGGCAAACAGGGCAGCTGCGATGGGTGGGCGGGATGAATCCTTCCCGTGCGGGCGTCCCGATTAGGTGGGTGAAGCACGTTCAGGGCCAAGCTTCAACGTCCCTCATTCCACGGCCTGAGCCACACCCAACCGAGAGGCCACAGGCTGTTGTGCCACCCCCAGAACAGCCCACGTCAGGCCCAGCTTCGGTGAGTGAGCCCCAGCTTCGACCTCGGCGTGATATGCCGTACCGACCGACCGATGGCTGTTGCCAAGGCTCCTTGGGCCTCAGGCCCCTGCTATCCTAGGTACACCCACTAAACCCAGCCGCGCGATCCGGCCACCACACGGCCAAGCGGTCTCCCACGCCTCCATCACCATTCGCCCATCACTTGCTTGCTTCTTGTCTTAGCGTGCCTCTGGCGCTGATATCGCACCAAGCCATCGAATGCCACACCGCCAGCGCTGGCTCGGATTGGCCAGCTCGTTCCGATATTTCAGTCTCTCCTTCGCTTCGCCAGAAGAATACCATGTCTCACCGTTCGGAGACATGCCATTTTAGGCTAAGTCTGCGGCTTGCCGGTGTTACTGTTATGCACATCCATGTCAAGACCCCCCTGGATGTCCCGGGCGGTCGGTTCATTCTCCACTTGGTGGTGCTGGCATAAAGTGGAGGCCGAAGAGCATCCGTTCATGTCCCTTTCTCCATCTCCAACTCGCCAAGCTGGGGGTGTGGGTTATGGGCTAATTTACCTTCGCCTGGCTGCACGGTCGGCCTGTCGCGTAAAATCGTCTTGACGTATAGCGAGAAGGGAACAAAGGGGGGGAAAAAGAAGAAGAAGAAGAAAGAAAACAAGGCCAGTGGCTGTCCCACGCTTCGAACACAGCCTAGCCGTCACAGGTCGACAAGACGACAGGCTCTAGCAAATATCGGAAATTTGGCAGGCAGGAAACCAACCATTGAACAAAATGGCCATCCTCATGCTGGCTGTGGTCGGCCTCGTCTCATACTGGGTCGTTACCCTCATCGCGGGACTGGTGGCCAACATTGCGAAAGCAAAAAAGACAAAGCTGCCCTATCTGGTCGTCTGTGAGTGCCACTTACGAGAGGGGGCTGCCAAACAAATCATGGGATACCTCCTAACCATCTCTTCTGTTTTATCCTCTCGCAAGTCTGCTGCCCCGATGGCAATGTCTGGTACGAGGTCCAGAAACTAGTCCTGCCTATCATGAAGGCGCTGATGCCAGCCTCATGGTGGGACAACTGGCTCTTGTAGGTCCCCCTGTAGCCAACACCACGTCATCACTCACAAAGTCAAATATCGCTAACAAACACGCACTGGACATGTGTTAGCATCACGGAGAAAGACTGGGCGTATCACAGCGGTCAGAGACCCTGGGATATGTTGGGTGAATGCTTCTTTGCCGTGTCGCCGGGTACCATCGTCATGTACACGCGCAACCCAGACATCATCCAGAGAGTCATGAGCCAGCGGGAAGCTTTCACGAAGCCGACCTACCTGTACGAGGTCATCGCCAGGTATGGCGAAAACGTCGTCACCACCGAAGGCGCCGTCTGGCGCATGCACCGCCGTGCCACTAGCGTCATCTTCACCGAGAGACTGGTGACCCGGGCCTTCGCCGAGGCCGTCCGCCAGACTCAGGCCATGGTCCGGCACTGGGGTAGAAGCAACGGCGACGACAGCAATGACGCGGTAGCCGCGACGGTCCAAGACCCGGCCAAGGACACCATGACCCTGGCCCTAAACATCGTCGGGTCTATCGGCTTCGGAATGCGCTTCCCCTGGCCGGGCGAGCCGCCGGCCAAGGATGCTGACCCCAAGATGCTCCAGTACACGACCGTCGTGCCCGGAAGCAAGCATGCCATGACTTTCCCCATGTCTCTAGAGGCCGTTCTGGAACATATATTGGCGCTGGTGATAGTTCCCACCTGGCTGCTACGTGAGCTCTCCTTGTTCTGTTGGTCGAGGGCCATGTAATAGTGTAGGCAGTCAAGCACAGTGCGCTAACCAAAGCTAACGGCCGCAAAACAGGACGTCTCCCATTTACCTGGGCTAGAACCGCATCTGCCGCCGACGCGGCATATAAGCATCACATGCAGGAGCTCCTGCGCCAAAGAAAACAGGAGTTGCTGGAGAGTGCGGAGAGTCAGTCTAGGGGCGACGCGGAAAAACAGGGGGACATTATACAGTCCTTGTTGAAATCGTCAAGCAGTAGCGGCGATGAGAAAGGTGGCGCCGGGCTCCCGCTCACAGACACCGACATCATTGGCAACGCCTTCATCTTGATCCTGGCCGGGCACGAGACGTCAGGCGACGTGCTGCACTTTGCCCTCCTCTTCCTTGCCCTCCACCCATCGGCCCAGCTCGCGCTGCAGGCGGATCTGGACCGCATCGCGGGGGTCGGCGCGGCGACAGCAGGGGACGGCAAGCCGCGGCCGCGGCCATCGTGGGACCAGGTCGTCGCCATGTTGTCAGGCATGCCCGGTGCCGTCGTCAACGAGACGATGCGCATGATGCCGCCCGTCGCGCAGATCCCTAAGCACGCGTCCGGCGACCAGCCCTTGATAGTGTGGGCCGGCGACGTCCGCGCGCCGGTCCAGTGCCTGGTCCCCGACGGCACCATCGTACAGGTCGTCGCCGTCTCGGCCCACCGCCACCCGCGCTACTGGCCTCCCGCGCCCGGAAAGAGCGGCAGCGACGGGTGCGACACGGATGAGTGGGTCCCCGAGCGCTGGTTCCGTCCCAGCATCGCTCCCACTGCTGCCACGCCCACTCCCGCCACCGCCACCACTGATGGCGACCAGCCCGGTGACGACGACGACGACAATGACAACGAAGACGAGAGCGACGACTACATGGGCGCCATAGCCTTCCGCCCGGCACGCGGTGCCTTCATACCTTTCTCGGACGGCGCGCGCAGCTGCCTGGGCCGCCGCATGGCGCAGGTCGAGATGGTAGCGGCGCTGGCGACGCTGATCGGGTCGCACACCGTCGAGCTGGCCGTCGACGAGCTGGCGGCCGGTGGGGACGACGAGGTCAACGGCATGGATCCGGGGCAGCGCAGGGAGCTGTACGGCCGCGCCAGCGAGCGGGCGCGCCGCATCATCAGCGAGGCGTACAGCGTCATCTCGCTCAAGCTGCAGGACGGGGCTCGCGTGCCCATCAGGGTCGTGCCGAGGGGGAAGGAGAGGTTCGTGGGCGTTGTGTGAAGGCCTTGATGGCAAGGTTTCTTTTTTTTTTCTTTTCGGCGTGGGCTTGTTAGAATACCCAATATCAAGACATGCTTTTTCACGATAGAAAATCATTGCGGAGGACTAGTCACAGCTCAACGCAAATAGGCACGATAGATTCTCACACTCAGCAACCTAAAACCACACAGCCCTTTGTGTTCACTTGCTTGGTGAACAAACCGTTCCTCTCAAAAGCCCGCACACATAGTATCTGTCCCAACCCAGAGTCCCAACCACGCAGCCGCCACGGCATACCCAGAGACCATGATAAGCCCAGCATCCAGGCCTCTACCCCCAACCCAACAAGACATGAAATACATGCAAAAGGTCACTAGGAAAGAAAGAAGGTCGAGTCGCAATATAAACATTCGCTGCTTTCCAGGGAGAAAGCGGCAGGACATGAAGGACAATAAAAGGAAATAAAGCTAGATGAAAAACCCCCCCTTTTCCAGGAAACATGGATATAATCAGATGGCCACCAAAACCACCCATTCCCCCTTGACAGTCAGAGAGCAGACAAAAAGCAGCAATGACAAAGATATCATGACGCGTGCCGCGCCCCCAAGGACAACAACAAGCCCAAGCACACATAATCTTGCACAGCACTGCCCTACAGAGCGAGGAGCAGGTGATCGGCATGGTGGGGGATTAAAAGCGGAGGTATCAGGTGAACAAAACAAGAACAAGGGGTAAAGCATAGAAACCGACTACGCCAGAAAACTCCCGGACGGAAAAGAAAAAGAGGGAGGAAAGAAGGAGGAAAGGTGAGGTGTGGAAAGCGAGGGGCAACCGGCGCTTCCGAAGGAAAAAAAAAAAACCTTCGTTCTCCTTCCTACTTCCGCAACACGGCATCATACATGGCCATAAGCCCCGTCACGCCGCAGCCGACGAGGGCGCCCTTCCAGCCGCCGTAGAGGGCCGAGTTGATACGGGCGACGGACAGCTGGTCGGCCAGCCCCCAAAAGGTGAAGCCCTGGGCGTAGACGACGTAGGTGAGCAGGGCCTTGACGACGCTGTACGTGAGCGGGTCGACGGCCGGCTCGGGAGCGGCGCCGGCGATGCCGCGGGGCCTGCCGCGGGTGCCAACGCCGGGCACGTGGTTCGGGCCGGCGCCGCTGTGGGCGGCGCCCAGGTTGACAAAGTAGCCGGCGACGGCGGGCAGCAGGGCGCTCGTGGCGGCCCACAGCAGTGCGGGGCTCCAGAAGGAGGCCGTGAGGAGGAGGAACATGTCGGGCACCTGGACGGGGTGGTCGCGGGTGCCGAGCCATTGGACGGCCGGCACGGTGAAGGCGTAGCGGTCGGCCAGCAGCTCCGGACGGAGGTGGTAGAGCTCAAAGGCTGAGACGAGCATCAGGACCGAGGTGACGGTGGAGAGGGACGCGCGCGCCGCGCGCGTGGCCTCGGTGACGCCCGACTCGGCGTACATGGAGGCGACGCGCTTGCGCACGATGAGGGTGCTGCGGTCGACGGCGTTGGCCACGTCGGCGGGCGTGGCGGGCAGCGGGATGCGCTGCGCTAGCGACAGGGCGCGCGCCGGCGTGCGCACCAGCGCCGTCGTGGTGGCGGCGGCGATGGGGGATGGTTGTGACTCTTCGTCGCTGCTGTTTGGTCCGAGAGACGCGTGTGGAAGGAGGGGTCAGTCGCGCGTTTTGTTTATGGTCAAGCCCCCGTCCCCCGGGGCGGGCGGCGCGTTCTCCTCCCGTAGCAGAATACTCACGTCGCGGCGACAACCTCCTCGGGCACCTTGGTCTGGCGGCGCTTGGTGATCTTGAGGAGATCGGGCGCCTCTCTCTTGACAGGCGATCCCAGGCCGCGGGTGCGGGTGGGCTGGGTATAGAAGGGGCTGAGCCTCGGGTCTGCCGCGAACCGGTCCGAGTTGTCGGCCAGGTACTCGTCCAGCGTCGCCTCGAGGTCCTTCCTCAGTCCATCGTAGCTGCGGAAGCGCGGGGCGTTAGTAAAAGAGACGCGACGCGGGGTCCGTTGGGCGCTGGGCTGTGATGCCGTGGGGGTGGGTGGGTGTGCGCCACCCTCATGTTGCGATGCGCCCGCGATGCGACAGACGGGAGTTCCTGACAAGGCCTGTCGCATTCGCGGTCGCGGTCGCGGTCGCAAGCGGTTCCAGTGGCTAATCGAACGAGGGGATCGCATGGGTTACGCAACATACTTTTTCAGGCCAATGTACTCGGCCAGGTCGATCAGTTCTGCCTTGCGCAGCGAGCGCAGCCATGCGTTTGCCATTATTGCTTCCGTGTGGCCTGCGCAAACGCTGGGGTTGGTTGGCTGGTACTATTCGGGCGGGATTGGTGTTCCTCTTGTCGCGTCGGGAAGTAAGTCGGTGGTTGAATGGCTTGTTTCTTATCCGAAGGTCTTGGTCAAGGCAATGGATTGTGCCCGTCTGAGGTGTCTGAGGTGGTGCTCAAGCAAACAAAGAGCAAACAAAGCGTCGAGGTAGCGCCAGAGCTTGGTCCGGGATCATGCTGCGGAGGGGAAGCAGCACTGGAGCTGGAGGGGTGGTGGTCTGGGGTTTGGGCCACCCGTGCAGTAGCGGGACGTGGATGATTTGTTTGTTGTGATTTATGATGTTGGCGCGGACCCACCTCATTCCCTTTTGGGCGGGCTCTGTCGGTCTTGATGCGGGCGCCGAGTAAGACGGTCGTGTTAGGGCGGCACACGTGGCTCGGCTCTTTCTGGCGCCACGATTGGCCCTATGGGGTGGAATGCACGTCGCATGACACCCAAATCAGGCCATGGGGGGTTCCGCACTAACAGCCTGCACGAAGGCACCCGCGCCCACATTTGCACCCACACGCACCTGCAAGTTCACGCATCTGTCCAAGTCAACTAGTATTTCACGGACACAAACAAACAAACAAACTACAAACTATTCCGGCTTCTCCCACTTGATAGAGTGCACCAGCATGCTCCTCAGGCACAGCCTCCCCGGCGACCCCGGCGCCTCCTCCTCGGCCCGCCCTCCCCGCAGGGTGCCGGCCCCCGCGCGGCCGTCCATCTGGGCGTGGCCGAGCCAGCGGCGCCAGAGCAGGCCGGCGAACTCGCTGTTGTAGTACCACGTGGTGCCCTTGTGGTTGTGCTCGTTGCCGAGGTCGAAGGGGCTGCCGTGGCCGCTGGTGCTGGCGTCGTAGCCGCCGTCGAAGGCGGCGTCGGCGGCGGCCATGTCCCAGCCGCGGTCCAGGAAGACGGGGTGCGGCGCGTAGGCGGCCTCGGGCCCGTGGTGCAGCGCCATGGCGGCCGGGAACATCTCGCTGAACATGCTGTGCCGCATCCGCCACGTCTCCTCGTGCATCACCCCGAGCAGCCGCCGCGACAGCCGGCTGGCCGTGACGATGGCGCACCACGGCGGCGGCGTCGGCCACGCCCGGTCGTAGCCCGTCACGTCCGACGCGAACACCCACCCGCCCGCCTCGGCGTCGAAGATGAGGTTGAGCGTGATCAGGTCCGCCCCCTCGCCGCGCCCGCACGCGTCCGAGTGCCGGATCGTCTCGACCCCGTCGCCTGCCCTGCTGTCCGTCCCCCCGCACGTGTCGGCCGGCAGGAAGCTCTCGCCCCGCTCCTCGGCCCGGATCGCCTGCCTGCCGGGGAAGTAGACGGGGCCCATGGTGGGCCGCGTACCCGCCTTTCGCGTCGTCTCGGCCACCAGGTCCGAAAAGTTGGCCCAGGTCCCGTGCACCGCCGGCAGGTAGTACCTGGCCGACCGCTCCCACAGGTTCGCGCGAGACTGCGCGCGGGCCCAGCCGCCGAGCCGGTCAAAGAGCTCGTAGTAGTTGCCCAGGTACCGCATGTCCATCTCTCAGTTCCAAAAGTGCTCGTACTCGGGGTGCTCCATGGCGAAGTGCTGCAGCGGCATCTGCGCCGACCCGTAGACGCCGTGGACGTCGCTCCCGCTCGGGTTCTCGACCGCCTCGCCAAAGTTGCCCGGGTACACGAGCCGCATCTGCGCCTCGGATCAGAGCGTGCAGAGCGTGTGGAACTCGCGCGGGACCGAGTCGTCCAGCACCCGCTGCGCCGACGCGACGTCGGCTCAGATGGGCACGTTGTCGTCCTTGACGTGCAGCAAAAGTGCACCGTGTACTCGCCCCCAGACCTGAGCGCCAGCTCCGATACCATGGCGCGGAAGTTGAGCACCGCGTGCTGCGTCCACTCGAACCCGACGTAGATACGCACCACCACGGCGATGCGGTGCATCTTCTTGCCCCTTCCACTTCCCCTGGCCGGCTCTTCGGATGATCGCTACTCGTCGGGTGCCGCCGCTAGGTCCTGCACGTTCTCGAATCTGTCCCGATTGGCGGCCAGGCACCGCCTCTGCGCCGCGCCCCAGTCCACGGCGCGGTAGTCGACCTTGCCGCCGCCCGCGCGCGCCCACACGGCCTCGCTGCCCTCGCGCTCCGTGTCGGTGCGCTCCGAGGTGCCGCCCTCGGCGCCGTCGTACCCGAGCCCGTACGGCCCGTACCGTCCGAACCGGTCGAAGCAGACGTCGCTCCGCAGCCCCAGCACGTCGTACGACCCGATGGCCGGGTCCGGCAGCCCCTGCGGCACGCCCTCGTACGCCAGCGTGTCGGGCACGGGCACCTTTTGCTCCTCGTCCAGGTAGCAGCGCCTCACCGCGTGGTTTTTGCCCAGGTACTCGGCCGACTCGCAGTCCGGCTGCGGCACGTACGGCGTCGGGTGCGGCATCGGACTCAGCCTCAGCGTTGTCGTTGTTGTTGTTGTTGGCCGCTCTTGGCCCGCTGGGAAGGGGAACTCGGGCTTGTGTTCGGAGAAGGGGACTATCGCCTTCAGGCCGGCGTTGAAGTATGAGTCGAGGCTGCCGTAGGGGTCGGCCCCGTGTCAGCAATCATGCCCTCGCTCTCACTTCAGGGGTAGCCACCACACACACTTACTGTGCATATTTCAGCCACAGCAACGGCTCACGCTCTCCATCCTTATTTCCGGCTTCTTTTCCGTTTCTGAAATCAAGCCACGAAAAGGAGGTCGCCGCATCCTTCGGCTTCATGACCAGTGCCCGACCAAGCAGGCCGCTGATGGCAAGGGTCCATAGTATCACCCTCCTGTAGCGGCAGTGGCCAAGGAGGGTTCGGAGGCAGATTTTCTGCCGCTCCTGGACTGGTGCCGGCAGCCACCTAGGCTCGACCTTGAACCCTGCAAAGGACCCTATCGTTGAAGTCGACGACACAGTCGGACTTGGCCCGTAGGAATGGAGCTTTATCCATGGCTGTGGGCTGTCCTCTGCGTGTGAGGCTGAGGCTGTGGAAGTGGATATATATGTATCGGAGAAATAGGAACTTTAGAGGTAAGACGCCATCCAGTCGCCCTCGGATGAAGAAGCGAAGTAAAATAGAAGACAACAGGGACGGCGAGATGGCTTCATCCAGAAGACAAACTTGATAGAATACCTCACGTTTCGCCCGCTTTGAATAACAGCTATGTCGACAGTGTAGGATATATCGAACGAGCGCAGGGCTTCTTGGGCAGAAGCAAAAGAGAGATGGGGACGGCTTCACGCTGAGGGAGGAAATCGATGAGTGAGATAAAGAACAGGGCGAGGATATTAGTGCCCTGCATGATTCGAAGAAACCGGGAGGCCTAGTGCAAGGAGAGGGGCCGGTCCTTGAGCGGAAGCAATGGTGGCGGCATCATGGTGCCCGAGATGCCAGGGCCAACCATACATCAAGACCCAGGCGCAGTTTATTTCCGTCCAACAACAGTCCAAGGTGCATTCACATGTGTTTGTGGACGTATCCTGGCCGCGAGATATAGAGGAAGGTGGCGGAGCTCAGTTCTCGACCGATATTCTGTGTCCGACTTCTACCGTCTTAGTCCGCATGGTGCTACTGATGGAGTGGCATCCCGGCTGCTGTTTGTATCCATGACGTCGAAATAGTCAAGCGTCGGGGGGACAGGGGCTGCCGCAACGTGATTCCATCTCCCACCAGAAGATCGGATAGGCGGGTGCTATGCAAGAGCCTCCTGCGTCAGTTGTCTGCAGGACTCCTCGTCTGCTGGCAAGGTCATGCATTGCACCCATTTCTGGCAGCAATAGAACCACAGACAAAAGAGGTCCCCGCGTCCAGCCTTTTCTCTTCCGAGATGCAAGCGCCTCCTCCCAACCGCCGCTGCTGCCAAGGACACAGACAGCATGAACCAGAGTCTGGGCCAGAAGACAACATGTGGATATCCTACCCACTCCGACCGGCCGCCCATCCCAGCACCGCAGAGCAAAAGCCCAAGGCCGCAAGCGGCGGCCAGGAGCGTGGGCCAAGGTCCTGAGTAGCATTTCGACGTCGCCGGTGGGCGCCTGACTAGAGAACCGGGTTTGAGGGCCTCTTCGTCGGCCCTCCTCCGCGAGGGATGCCCCCGCGACCCCTCCGACAAGCAGAGCGGAGCCGCCGGTCATGGCCGGGCTCGCCTTTTCGTGGAATCCTGCTGTCTCGGGCTGCCTTGTGTTGCCTTGTGTGGTCTCTGGCGAGGCGCAGCCCAGTATCCCCTCTTGCATCATGTCGCTCTCCCGTCATCCGAGCATGTTGTAGGAGATGTCGATACCAGGCTGACGGGAAACGGCCAGCACGTTCCGGGTGCTCGATAGCTGGCGATGCAGCGCGGCGCGGCGTGGTGACGGCCGCGCACCTAGTTTCGGAGTAGGTCATGGCGTGGCCGCGGGACAAGCCGTACCTAGCAACCTGAGCGGCAACAAGTCATTGATGTTGATGTCAAAACAGGAGGCAGATGTAGCGAGCGCCAAGAATGACCGCTCGGGGGTGGCGCCCTAGATCCATGTAAAGACTGATCCAGCCTGCCGGTAGTTGGAATAGTAACTAGGCAGAAAACCAGGTGGCCATCCTTGCTTGGCCTACCGGGCCAGAGCCTAGCAGCCGTAAACGAGAGGCTCAAGACAATAATGAAAAATGAAATCAACCGGAGCTCATTCCAAGCACACTCTCAAGGCTCTGACCAACCTCGCCCCTCTACCTGGACGGCACCCAAACTTTGTCCCTCCATCACTGACAACAATCGAGTTTCCTGTTTTCCCCGACCGAATCATTTGTCATATAAAAACTCGGTGCTGTTTATTGAAACGTCAGCGCCGGGACCCATGGTTTCACACCAACGACGAACATCCCAACTGTCCGTGGGCGACTCGGCCAGAGAAAACGACTCTCATCCATCCCAAATATGCATGAGCCTTGCTTTTTTTCCACCTGACGCCAGCCGCCGCTTCCAGCAACAAAGCATAGCGCGGTCGGAATGGGCCCGCCCTGTCACCAAGACGCAGAGCGAGCTTGTTTGAGCTTGGCGGAACCGCCACAGTTGGCCCGACTTCTTCCAGAGACCAGACGTTCATAAGGTATGACAGATTAAAATATTAGAGAAAACGCTGTCTACACCGTATCCATGTTTTGGCTACTACAACGGCCAGCGAATAACCACACCAAGCTCGGGCCCCCCATTAAGTGTAATCTCCCTCTATCCCAGCCTTCCCCCATCCGCCCACCTCACCCCCGCGCGCCCTTGGCCTCGCCGCCAGCCTCGCCGCCCTCGACCTCCCTGGCCCTGCGCCGCCGCTCGGCGCGCCTGGCGCGCCTCCTCTGGTCCCGCGCGTCCCTCCAGCCCTCGCCCCACCTGATGGTGGCGCAGAGGCCGAGGGTCGAGAGCACCAGGAAGGCGGAGCTGATGGTGCAGAACCAGCCGACGCCGACGGCGCCGACGGCGGGGAGCACCACGGCCGTGCCCAGGCACGCAAACATGTAGCGTATCATGTAGTTGCCCGCCACCACCTCGGCCGCGCGCGGCTGCATCACGTCGAGGCAGTACGTGTTGAGGCTCGGGAACCCGAACAGCTGCGCCACGGCCTGCACGAAGAGCGTCACGACCGCCAGCGGCACCCCGCCCACGTCCCGCTCCAGGCCCCAGCCGTATGTGAGCGTGCAGGCCGGCACGACGACGCCAATGAAGACGACGGCCGACCGCAGCCGGTCCTCGGGGACGCGCCTGCCCCCTCGCTTGGCCATCCACCTCTTGACCGTGTAGTCAGCGTATTGCCCGCCAAAGAGGCTGCCCACCAGGTAGCCGCAGCCGGGGGCGAGGTAGAAGAAGCCCGACTGCATGGGCGTCGTGAGGTTGAAGCGCGGGTTGATGACGTAGCGGATGGGCGTCAGGAGGCTGTACATGTTGAACAGCAGCCCCGCCGACGCCAAGCCCGTGAGCGTGAGATTCGGGTACGCGAACAGCTTGACGACGCGGAGCGGGCTGATCATGGAGCAGAGAACCCGCGCCTTGCGGCGGCGCGGCATGCCGACCAGGTCGTCCTTCTTGAGCCGGTGCGCCGTCTCGGGCAGGAGGAAGACGACGCCCACCAGGGCGAGCGCGCCCAGGCCCGTCTGCATCCAGAAGATGACGCGCCACGACTGGTACGTCACGATGATGCCGGCCAGGAAGGGGCCCAGCGCGGGGCCGATGAGCGTCCCCGACAGGAACCAGCTCAGGGCCGTGGCCCGCTCCGTCGGCCGGTACAGGTCGCCGATGACGGCCGAGCCGACGAGGATGAACGAGGTGCCCTCGAAGGCGGTCAGTAACCGGAAGACGATGAAGGCCTCCAGCGAGGTTGCAAACACTGTGCCGATGCTGCAGGCTGTGAAGAGGACAGCAGTTACGAGATTTACCTGACGAGGTTGGTTTCGAGTGTTAGTAGTGTGTTATACCAAGGCTTGTGTTTCCCACTCTCCGTTGGAATCTCAAAAGCAGCATGTCAACTTACAATCCTTCTCCCATAAACCTGGCTTAGCGGTCCCCAGAACATCGGAGACACTCCCATGAAGAACACTGGCGCCACCCGACTATTAGCAGCAGGTTCCCTGTGAAGCACACCCCGCTACAGAGCAGAAATTTACACCCAGGACGACACTCAACTCACTGTAAAAGGCATTGCTGATGTTTATGACGGTCCCCGTCGTGCCGAACTCGGCCGCGACCTCGGGCACGGCCGAGAGCACCGCTGTGCTGGAGATGGGAGCCAGGAAGGAGCAGAAGGAGAGCACGGCAACGACGACGAGCTTGCGGCCCGGCGTGAAGCGGTCGTAGACCGAGTCGGGCACCTCGACGAACGAGCTGTACGGCTCCGCCTCGGCCACCGCGTCGGGCCCCATGGACGCGTTCGTCGTTATCCTCGACATGCCGCTGCTGCCTGCCGCCGAGTGCCGCCGGCTCGCCGCCGCCGACGACGACGTCGAGTACGCCGACTCGGTGTGCGCGACGTCATCGTCCGCCGTGGCCGCCGCTGGAGGGTGTGATGGTGTTGTTGCTGCTGATGCTGCCGGCGCCTCCTCTGGCGCGGCGGCCCGAGGCGAGGCCGGAGCTATCGAAGCCGTTATGGCGCCGCTGCCCTGGTTGCCGAGAGGCGTCCCCCCAGTCCCTGGGGCTACTTGGGCTGGAGCTGCGAGGTGGGGGTCAGACCCCGGCCGCTTGGGATCGGGGCCGCTGTGGCCCCCGTCACCACTAGCCGCCGGCATGGCGTCGTCTGCCGGCTTGGCAATAGCGCCCGGGTGGATCAACGAAAGCTGCGGGTGAGATGGGTGCCCACCCCCTCAACGGTCAAATTGAGGCTTCCCTATCCGAAAAGCCAAGAGTCACGGCTGGGGCTCTTTTAGAGGGACCTGATCGGGGCGGGTCGGGAGTTTCCGAGTACAGAGCTTGACGGGTGGGTAGGTAAGGACCGGTTGTATGATGGTCTCCCTGTCGGGCATTGGTGACCAAGATGGGAAAAGGCCAATGCAGAATAACGATGGCGTCCGATAAAAGACGAGGAAGGTGAGTCGAGTTAATAAGGGCGCAAAGCCGGACGAGGGCAAAAAGGTATCACTCGCCGATCGATATCCTGCACGTTCCACCATGGAGTAATCAAGAAAGACGCCGAAAGCTCTTTTTTTTCTACCATAAACACCGCCTCCGTCCTTCACGAGCCACCGCCTTTATGGGTTCCTCACGAGTCTGCCTTCTCCACCCTGACCCCAGTCGTCTGGCGCTGCGGAAGCGCAGAGCCGTTGGACGCGGACTTGGCCCGGCGGACAGGCCGAGCATCGGACCCATATGATATTACGATTTTTTTGGAATTTTTTTTTTCCTGCAGTAACCTCCCGTCGAGTTCAGGAGTGGCAAAACTGTCGACGCAAGGGGGGATCGGCTTGCACATGGAGTTGGTTGGGCTGCAAGGCAGGGTCCCACTTGGCAGGCTACGTCTGTCTGCAACTGGAAGGTCCCTACCGCTCTGTTATCAAACACTCTGTCCATCTGCCTCTACGTCCATGCTGGCTAGAGGCTGTGATCTCAGTCTTTCCCGTGTACCCTCTCCCCTTGACCGGTCTCATGTTCCGGAACAAGACCATTAGTCTCTTCGATATGGAATCTATTTACTTATTTTCTTTCGTGCCTACCAGAGCAACAAAATGAGACCGCAGGAGTAGGTGAGTACTGGACATGGTGGACTCATGCGCCATCGGCCGCTTTATTACCGAGCATATACCCATGCCCGCCCGTTGTCGGTCCCCGCTCGGCGTACTTGCCGGTACAGCCGTACAGCCCGACGTCATGGGCCCCCAAGATAGGCGGTGTCGCGTGCGACATCCCGAAACCGCCAACTCTGGCCAGTGAAGCCCTTCGAGCTTCACCAATTGAGCATCTTGAACCTGGCAGTCCCCCGCAGGATCCAATGTGCTTCAAAAAAAAATCAAAAAAAAAAAAAGGAATCAGAGAAGTCAATTCGAAACACGGCCGTACCTGATGCTCCGCGTTTCGGCGCCGGTGCCGGGCCCTTTATCGCGTGTCGTCGGCCCAAAACCCCTGTCTTGCCGAGCTGCCTGGCTTTGCAGGCACCATTGTGCTCGGCCAATTCGATCACTTACGCCGAGCTGTGGCGCGGCTTACGATGCAAGTCTCGCCGCACATATTACCCACCGCCGCTTTTGGTCTCGCCAAGTGGCTTTGAGGCCGACTACGAGCGACGGCGCCCGATTATCTCACTGCCTCTCCACTCGAACTGGCATTCTCCTTCTCCTTTCCTTGGTTTCAGAAGCTTCACCACACAACCCATTTCGGACACCAAGTCACCAACCAGCATCTATTACCGAGACCAGGACCAAGACGTCGAGTTGTTTTGAGAATCAGGTATTTGCCGAGGTAGAGTATCATAAACAGGAAATAATCAACAAATAGGAAAGCAAAGCGCTTGCCACAGAAACAAAAAGCAAAGCCAACTCTGCACTTCAGGCTCCTCATAAACTCCAATCTTCAAGGTTCCCAATTCCCGCCCCAAGAAATAACAAAGGCCGATACGAAGGCTTGGAGACGACCTGGCGGTGGGTTGGAATCCAAGCCCGGAAGAAGGCAAAAAACAAAAAGGGGGTGTATCCATCGTGAACGCGCAGCTCTAGAAGGTAACATGATAAAAGAAATCCTTTCCTCTAACCATCCACACCCCTTGGGAGCGCCACAGTCCGCTTCTCCCTCCACGCACACGCATCTCTGCTTTCGGCGCGGCATGATTGAAATTTAGCGCAATGGGCCGTCGATCGGGCTGTGCGGTAAGCTCCTAATGCCACTCAGGTCGGTGCTCCCCGTCCTGCGCAGGGCCTGCGACATGGTCTCGATCTTGAGCTCGCCATCCCCCAGCACCATGCCGGAGGGCGGGCTGCCGGGGCTGAGGGGTCCGCCCGTGGCCGTCAGCGTCAGCGGCTTGCGCGTGGGCGAAGTTTCGAGGCCGCGGATGCTGCCCGACTTGGACGTGGGCGGTGACGACGACATGCCGCCACCCTGCGACGAGACGGGCGAACGGATCGGTGACGGCGACCGCGCGCCAGCCCCCGAGCTCCCACCAAGGGCGCTGAGACTCGTCAGCCCGGCCAGGTGCATGCTGTCCCGCGAGGCTGACAGGCCCGGGCCGTGACCGTGACCCTGCTCCGACTGGACGACGTCGGCGAAGGAGATGAAGGAGAGGCGGCGCACATCGGTCGCGTCCAGCGACCCGTAGTTGCTCGCCGAGTCGCCGCCCATGCCAGTGGCGGGCCCGGCATGCTCGAAGCTCGCCAACTGTTCGGCCCACGAGGCGGCCGCGCCGGCGCCGCCCTGGTCATAGATGGAGGACGACTGGCTCAGCTGCTGGCTGCCTGTGACCGCGGCCCCTGCGGGCTGGTGCAACGAGTGCGTCACGATCTCCACCGTATCTGGGTCGATGCGGTCGTCGGTGATGGCTTCGGAGGAGGCATCCAGAACTGGCGGGATGAAATCCTCGGTCGTGATGTGAGACGGGATCGCGGGGGATGTTGGGAGCGCCACGGCGGATTCTTGCACGTCGCGCTCGAAGATCTGAGAGCCGGCCGGCGACGCCAGGCGCGGAGACAGATGTGGGGATGTCGACCGCACTGGCGACGTCGGAACCCTACCGGGCGACCCCGTCGTCCGCCTCGACGGCGATTCTCTCGGGGCCGACGTGTTGGCGGCGGGTGCGGCAGCGGTAGCTGCCGTCTGTGGATCTTCAGCCTTCTTCTTGCCAAAGCCAAACAGGGAGCGCTTCTTCTTCTTGCCGTCGTCGTTCTCGTCGGCTGCCGGCGGTTTGGGGGTGCTGGCTTCGCTCGTCGAGTCCGGGAATGGCACCACCGTAGAAGGGTGAGGGTTCGTCTGGATGGCGCTGCTGGGCTGCAGCACAGCCTGGGAAGCGGCACTCATTTTGACGACCGTGGCCAAGACTTGGGCAATTTGCTGGTCCCGTTCAGACTCGTGCTCGAGCTCGGCGGCGTGAAAATGACGACGGTCGTGCAGCTGGCGCAGCTCCGAGCGCGTGGGGACCCGAGAGAAGATGTGCTTATCGGAAACCTGTTTGCAGGTAGCAACCCGGAAGTCAGCACTGGCGAGGGCCGGCATCACCCCTCTAGGACGGGAGCTTGTGCTGGTGTTGGGGCGGGGCGGGGAGCAAAGTGAGTGAAGACCTACTGGTACGCTGGTGGTGGTAGTGACGCTTTGGTTGTTGGCGCGACTTAAGGAATGGTGTCTGCGGTGTGGCCTTAGTCTTTGTCGTGGGTGCTGTGTAAACTCTAGGTCAGAAAAGTGCGGCAGGCTGGTGGTGGTGGGCGAGGTGGGATCATAGCAGGTATACAGGGAGGACGATGTGGGAGTGGGCGGGAGCAGCAGCATGGTAGTCATTGTCGCGGGGACCGACGGGGGTGAGGTGCCGGGCCAGGGCGGGAGAGGGCGTGTGACCCCTGGGGTGATGGGGGTGATGGGGGTGATGGGCTGGAGTGGGGAGAGTCGGCTGAGTCTGACGAAATCAAGCAGGTAAAGCAGGCATAGCAACAATTCCGGGACAGCGGGTAATGAATTGCATGCGTCGCATGACAGCACAAGCACAGCACCCCACGCCGCCGAGGTTGCAACCCACCGCTTCTTGTATTGATGTTGTCGCTCCTGTTGCCTGTCTGACTGTATTGGGGTTTGAATTTAGTGAAGGAGGACAGGCGATGGATGGCGTGGCTGTTGGTCGCCTGGTTTTTGATACCGCGCAGAGTAATGGGGGATTTGCTGGGGTCTAGGTGGTGCTAGAGGTATCAATGCGCTCTGCACTGCGCCGTCGGTGCTTCTTGGGGTTGGCTCAGCTTTTGTGGCAGGATCCCTGGCCTGGCCTGGCCCTGAGTTTGGGCGCGTGGTGGTTGCAATCAAGGCTCAACTTGGAGCTCCGGGCTTCGCCTCTGCCTGTGACGACGACGTAAGCAAAACGACCGGGCCTGCTCCGAAGAGATGCGCGTCTCTAGAACTCAGAATAGGCCAGACGCAGGAACAGCCGCTGTCAGCAAGACACGCCAGCACGCACCTATCGCCGGGGGCTGGTAGGTGGCGGCAGTCGGCGGGATCGGGTGGCTGTCGAGTTTGGTCCGACGATCGATACAGAGGCAGGCCCAGTATTGATTGCTGTTTTTTGTCTGCTGTCACCTTTCCTTCCATTCGGCAGCATCCCAAAAGTTGGTCTAGGGCCGTGGAAACCCAAAGCCAAACCCCAGGGATCAAAGGTGGCGACTGCACGGCAATGACAATGGGTGACTCGACACAGCTGGGCAAGCTACTTCTACACATTTTTGCACTTTGATATGCCTCATCGAGATCGGCAGGTATGACGATGCGTTTTGCCAAGGTCGCAGGGTGGCCTACAGTGGCCTCCAGTGGCCCTCATCTGGCTATTGTTGCGTGTCGCCAGAGACCTTTGATTGGGCTGTGCCTTGCTCGACTCTCCCCCTTTTTTTTCTCCAAGGCGAATGTGGCGTCTCTGTAGTCAACCACTTTAGGAGCTGCTTTTCACCAGCCTGTCTCAGATGCAGCTTGGAGGTAGGAGATGCGCATGCGATTGATTCCCGGGTTACGCACATGCGAGGAGGCTGCAGTGTCACGGAAAGCATCGAGGTCGTCGACCAAGGAGAAGGCTCGAAAAGTCAGCAGACCACCAGCCCGCGACTCCATTCGATACGAGATCAGGGTGTGGTCCAACCCTCTTTTCCCTAGCCCTGCGCAGCAGCGACAAAACAGCATGATGCCCCTTCATTTCCTGTTCTTCCGCGTTGCCCACACACACCACCACCACAGCCAGCCAGCCTGCCAGTCAACCCAGCCTCCAGGCGCTTCCTTCCAATTTGCGTCCAGTCGGTGTTCTCTGAAGGTTTAAGCCTTGACCAACTCGGGCCGGCCCAGTATCAAGTCCCATTCTTCTCGGGTACGTCTTTACTCTGTACCGTATATGTCCAACGCAAGACCGCGAGGAGCCACACCCCCATCACCTCTCGGCGGTGCATGCTGTGCGGAAGCGCCATGCCCTGCGGTGCGGCCAGCTGAGCAGCCCGCCGCGGCTTACTGGACATTTGCTCCTATGCCCGTCCACAAAGCCTAAAATGCCTCCGCAAAGGCACATTAGGCAGCCTGCCGCTAGCCGCCCTCCACTCACACCAACGACGCCGTGTTCCTTTTCTTCTTCTTTTTGGTGTTGGTGCCTTGGGCTCGTGGGTTGAGTACATGTCAGTCACAGGGGCGCGCAGCCGTCGCGGCGGGTGCGACCGCCCAAGCCGGGCCATCTTCGAATTGATGCAATCACAATGCCCATCACACCGCTGCTAGCTGCCCTCGGCAACCCAGCGAGCGCAAGTGCCGAGTGCAAGTGCTGGATGGATGCTATTGTCATGCGAGGAATAGCATCGCATTGCTCGTCCGACAATGCAAAGCCCCCTCCCCGTTGATGAGTGGGACAGGCCGCCGATGAGGGCCCAGCAAGGCCGACCGCATTATCACGCCGCTTGGGTGTGCACGCAAGCAGTGCCCCGGCATGATCAGCCCCATCCTGTCGTCACGTTGCCACGCTGTCACCTCCTCAATTTGTATTGTCGCGTCGTGTCCTTCTCGATGGATCTAGACATGTAGCCCATACGGATACGTCGCTTTGGCTAAACCTCGAAACCTAGCGTCGGGTTGACATTCAGCTCTTGGATGCGAGAGGAGGTGCCATTGGATAAATTACTTGTTTGCATGAATTATACCAATCTCGGTCTGCCTTTCAGCTCTTGACCCAACTCCCTCGACGTCCCGAGGCGGGTTTCGCAGTTTTACCTTTTCGACCGCATGCAATCTATCCGAGTCCAAAGCCAGCCCCGAACTGTGACGGCAGGATTCCTTCCCCCTTCCATGCCCCCGCCAATCTATCGGGTCGGAGGTACCGAAGTGGGCGGGAGAGGGTGGACGCGGGGCGACGCCCCCGACTGACGTCAGAGCCTCCAGCCCTGCTCGATATCCTGGCCGCCTCGATGTTCGCCGCGAAAAGCGTCGACCCCTTCATCGTGGTTGGGCTCCACACGACATCACAACCTGTGCGGGCAAGCGAACCACGTCAACTGCCGCCTCTGACTCGCTTGAGGGATTCCGTCCGGAACAGGATTTCTCGCGCCGTTGTTGGGCGGTATTGCCTCCGGTGTCAATCGATCGAGGGGTCAACAACACCACCGCCGGCGCCAGGGACCTTCGCCTCGTCTCGAGTTGAAACGAAACATTTTTTCCGTCAGCGTCTATCCCCACAGGCCCAACGCCAGGGGGCCTTGTTCAGTCCGAGGCGCCCGTATCGCTGCGAAATTGCAAACGAAGGAGAAACTGAGCGACCGCCAGATAGGATGGCGATGGTGGAGGCAGAGAGTGATCACAATAAGGTCTGCTGGACGAGTTGAGAGCACAGAAGAGATGGCCAGCCAACCCCTTCCAGCCCACCAGCCCCCTCCTCGGGATCCCGCGTTCGTATTGCCAGTGGGACAGATATTGTGGTGAATCGGGGGCTTGGGCGCGTGCAAACTTTTTGCAAATCAGCGAGCCGCGCGACGAGACCTATGCCGACCCCGCCCAAAGGTGACGATCTGGCTCGCGATCTACGACTTTAATCATCCATGTTGCGTCGTATGAGCAAACACGCCTATATGGCGTTCTGATGCTTGAAGGCGAGCAACTGATGCTTTGGGGAGAATGGAACTTTGTAGAATCGTCAACCATGCCTGTATCCGCATCGTTGCCAGCTTCGCCGGTTGACTCGTCAGATTCCGAGCGTCTCCGCGACAAGTCTAGCAAATCAATATCTCGCGGGCCGTTGAATATCGAGACGCCGGCAGATACACCAGCTGGCCGCCGCGAGGGGAAACTCTACCCTTGAAGGGGATCATTCCCGTTAGGCCGTGTTGGCTTGTTGGGGATGAATATAAGTCGGCATCAGGATATGGAATCGCATATTTGTTCCATGACGCGAAAATATTCAAAAAGCAACAATTTACTATGTCCGGATTGACAAAAAAGACCTTGACGGAACCTCACAATTTGTGTTCGCAGACGTTCGAATTCCGTCAGTGTGCCATCCACATGGCGAGTTATCCAGACTGGAGAATCACGACACGTGACCCCGCCGACAAAAATCTCAATCGTTGTGGGGTAATATGGAGGGAATATTCACCCCTCATTGGCTACTGCCCCATCGTCGAGGACCCTCATCCGGCATTTTTTTTAAAGCTTCAGTTTCGTTGTCGCCAGCTCCGAGAGTGCCCAATAAATCGGTTCTGGGGCAGCAACTCTATTCAACAACACGGATAAAGCGGCTAGCAATAAGGATACGGTTTACCCCTTTGTCGCTGTTGAGATAGCCCCACCTCGGGAGAAGCTCGGTCGACCCCTCACCAACGGAACGGCCGCAGCCTTCATCTCGAAGGCAGCATCCCACACCCGAACGGATCGTGTGGCCGGGCCAAGACAGTATACACATCAGACAATGGAGGCACAGCTCCTCCTCAGGACAGCGACGTCACGGCCGCTCGTCGCCACCAGCCGCCTGGGCAGCAGAGCCCCGCTCCTCTGCCAGCAGCAGCGACGTACGAAGCTGACGTCGAACCGGCTGAAGCGAGCGCTCAACATCCCGCCGCACCCAGACTTCCTCGTCGACCCGAGCCGCTCCCAGGGCGACGTCGTCATCTTCAACCCGCCCGCCTCGGAGCCGTCTGTTTACCACACCCCGTTCAAGTTCCTGCCCAAGAACGACCCCCGCCGGCGCTCCAACCTCGCGAACCTATTCACATCTGTCTACCCCTCAAAATCATCACACACGGGCGACGCAGCAGCATTACCCGTAGATTCCCTGCCCGCCGTCAAATCATCGACGTCGCGGCTCGTGACTGAGGCCGAGGTGCGCGAGATGCGCGAGAAGCGCTTGTCCGACCCCAAGCGCTGGAGCGTCACGGTGCTCGCGCGCGAGTACAAGACCACCAAACCCTTCGTCATGCTCGCCACGGGCACCGCCAAGATGACAGCGCACAAGCGCGAGATGCAGGCCGAGCTCGACAAGGTCAAGGAGCGCTGGGGCCCCAAGAAGATCAAGGCCCGCGAGGACCGCGACAGGAGGCGCGGGATGATGTTCAACGGAGAGATATAGGCGACTATAAAGACTTTTGTTTGGTCCAGAGACTGTATTCCTCCATGCCACTCTCATTCCCCCGACGGAGATGCCGGCCGCAAGCGAGGCCGGTGAGGCCAACCCATGGTTGGCGAACATCCCACTCCAATGGGCTGATGGGCATCAAACACAATATTCTGGGCGCCAACTCTCAGGTCGATACCGGATGATCAGTTGGGGACTTCCAAACGCCCGAGGAGAACTTGCGGACCATGATACCCGGCTGTCGAGGCGGTTGAGCCCCCAGGACGATATTCGTATCAGCACCTTTCCCACCTCCGGCGGTAAAGGTGCTCAACCCGAGTAAGGCTGAAGCCAACAACGATGGTTTGCCCAGAGTCGATATCTTTACGCCATGTACTATACAGTGTAAAAGACACATGTTGTATATTGAATCCATTGTGTCGACGATTCTCCTTTATCTCCTGTTTTGGTTGCATTGATCTTGCCGTTCATGGCTCGTGATTCAGTCAGATTCCAGGGGATTAGTTCCGGGAATGATGCGGGGGGTCTGCGCTGCTCTGATAGAAACCTTGGCCCAAGAAGCAGCAGAGTGTGTCGTAAAATGAGCCGAGGAAAGCTGAGCAACCAGAGGCAACTCCGCTATTGCTCTCTTTGCTGTTTTATACATTGTCATTTACCTGGTAGGTAGGTAGTTGTAAATTGTACCTATCGGTTTGTTGGCTTGCCAAAACAATCGCAAACTCCTATTGAATTGTTATGCTCTCCGGCTCAAGAACACTGCAGGCTGTGGACTGCTAGAATCCTACAATTGTGTCATGCGGCGGGGTACTCTCAACCGTCCTTCCATTCACGTGGTCACCCAACTGCCCACCCACACTTGGGCTGGTAGGACGATACCATCGTAACCCGACCCGATCTTCGTTATTTCGCCACTCCGTCACTGGGCAACTCTGCAGCAGACTCGCTGCGACAGCGGCTACAAGATAAGCAGGGGCTGGGCAGAGCGACAACCAGCTAGCCCCAACTCCATGCGGGGTCTGCTCTCCGCCGCGAGGATAACGACCAAGGTCAGCTCTTGGCGGCCTCTAACACACACCATCCACGCCGGATCGTCCCTGCAGGTGCGCCTGTTCTACACGCCCAACATGGTCAAACGCGACCCCAGCACGGCGTCCAACTACGACGCCTGGGTCACCCGCCACACCACGGCCAACCTCAAGATCGACTTCAAGGAGAAGTGCCTCCGCGGCTCCATCGTGCTCGAGCTCGAGTCGCGCACGACCAAGGAGAGCACCGAGATCGTGCTCGACTCGAGCCACGTCTCGGTCGAGTCAGTCCGCCTCAACTCGGCCGAGCCCAAGTGGGAGCTCAAGGCCCGCACCGAGCCCCTCGGCTCCCCGCTCCACATCTCGGTGCCCGCCGGCGCCGCCTCGGGCGAGGTGGTCAAGCTCGAGATCGGCGTCCGCACCACCGACAAGTGCACCGCCCTGCAGTGGCTGACCCCGGCCCAGACCTCCAACAAGAAGGCCCCCTTCATGTTCTCCCAGGCCCAGGCCTGCCACGCCCGCTCCCTGTTCCCCTGCCAGGACACCCCGGACGTCAAGTCGACCTACTCCTTCAACATCTCGTCCCCGCACGTCGTCGTGGCCAGCGGCGTCGCCGTTGAGGACGCCACCGGCCAGAAGCCCGCCGTGGGCGAGGACGGCGACGCCATGTACCGCTTCGAGCAAAAGGTCCCCATCCCTTCGTACCTCTTCGCCCTGGCCTCGGGTGACATCGCCACTGCCCGCATCGGCCCTCGCTCCTCGGTCGCCACTGGCCCGGACGAGGTGGCGGCGTGCAAGTGGGAGCTCGAGGAGGATGTCCAGAAGTTCATTGACGCCGCCGAGAAGCTTGTGTTCCCGTACAAGTGGGGAGAGTACAATGTTCTGGTGCTGCCGCCGAGCTTCCCATACGGAGGTATGCTTACAGTATCCATGGTTCTTTTTCCGTAAAATCTGGAGGCGTCCCCGACAAGGGCCGAGGAGGCAAGACTAACACAACGCAGGCATGGAGAACCCCATCTTCACGTTTGCCACGCCGACCATCATCAGCGGCGATCGCCAGAACGTTGATGTTATCGCCCACGAGCTGAGCCACAGCTGGTCTGGGAACCTGGTGACTTCCGGCAGCTGGGAGCACTAGTGAGTAGTCGCCTTTGACTTGCTTGCCATCTCATTGCCATGTTGCCCTCCCGGTCGGGCTGTGCTGACCCCCCCTTGCGCACTAGCTGGCTGAACGAGGGTTGGACCATGTATCTCGAGCGAAGGATCATTGCCGCCGTCCGAGGGCAACCCTATTTTGACTTCTCTGCCGTGATCGGGTGGAAGGCTCTCGGTTGGTTTGCCCCTCTTCGGCCACTGAGCCGCCCTCGTCGGATACATGCGCGATGCTAACCGCTACGTTTTACCAGAGGACGCCATTGAGGAGTTTGGCGCGGATCACGAGTTCACCAAGCTGTGCATCAACCACGACGGCATAGACCCCGATGATGCCTTCTCGACGATCCCCTACGAAAAGGGCTTCCACATGGTGTACTATCTCGACTGCCTAGTCGGCCGTGAGAACTTTGACAAGTTCATCCCTTACTACTTCACCAAGTGGGCAAACAAGTCCCTCGACTCGTACCAGTTCAGGGACACGTTCCTCGAATTCTTCGATAAGTCCGAATATGCCAGCCTGAAGGACAAGATTGCCGGCATCGACTGGGAGGGCCGCTTCTACAGCCCGGGCCTTCCGCCAAAGCCCGAGTTTGACACGTCTCTCATCGACGTCTGCTACGCTCTGGCGGAAAAGTGGAAGAACAAGGTGAGGGATACCTTCCTTGGTGATATAAACAATCCCGTAAAAAGAGCAGTCGCCTGCAAGCCGGTATACTGACTTGCTTGGCGGGAAACCAGGACTACGTCCCGAGCAGCAAGGACGTTGACGGCTGGGCGGGCAACCAGAAGCTGGTATTCCTCGGCTCGGTGCAGGGCTTCGCCGAGCCGCTCTCGGCCGAGCGCGCGCAGCTGATGGGTACCGCCTACGACCTCGTCGACACCAAGAACGTCGAGCTCAAGACGGCCTACTACCAGATCGCCCTGCGGGCCGAGGACTCGGCCGTCTACGCGGGCGTCGCCGAGCTCCTGGGCCAGGTGGGCAGGATGAAGTTTGTGCGGCCCCTGTTCAGGGCCCTGAACAAGGTCGACCGGCCCCTCGCGCTCGAGACGTTTGAGAAGAACAAGGACTTCTACCATCCCATCTGCAGGGCGATGGCGGAGAAGGACCTGGGGCTTGCCGGAGAGGCCAAGGCGTAGTTTTGTCTAGCGGTTTGTTGCTCGCGGTAGTTTGAGTGGCACTGCCTATATGCTAGGACTGACTGAGAGAATCAAGTGACTGTCAGGGCCGTTGAGCTGCTGTAAGCTATCAGTGGCGTCCAGCAGTATATCCATATCAATGGCTGCCTATGATGAAAGCTCGCCTCTCGTATGCCGTTATCAGATACGATGGGTAGCCAACTTCTACTGGGTGTCCACAACTAACCGCGTGACTCAACTAGAGTTAACTGGGTGACCCTTTTGGGAATCAATGACATCCAACACATGCCAAGAACGGATTCTCGCCATACCTCAAGACCTGTCGTCCTTTTTCGCCTATCAAGTCGAACCTGACGCGCCCGGCCCTCTAGCACATAGCTTTTAGTGCTTTGACAAACTGTGCTTCCAATGACCCGAGTTGGGAGGCCTTGCATGATGCATTTGTCTGCCGACATGTCCAGCTTTCCAAGTCGGGCCTCGTACGAAGCCGGCGCGGGACACCCCGACTGCTGCCATGGGGAAGCCAACAGGCTCAATGGTCATTCTGTTCCGAAATGGGGGCTAATCCGAAGCAGACAGGTGCAACATGCAGAGATCGGTACTATGGTATTGTGCATGCAGGAGATGTCGGGATTGTGAGCCCATGTAGGAAATCGGCACATCTTGTCATGCAAACCTCGGCATCATGAGACCATGCTTTGAGGGCCAACGCCCGAAGCGTGCTCGCGACCTTTTGCAGAGACATCGGCACCACCTGCCGTCCGGTGTTGTTTCGCCATGGGCAAAATGCTGAACGGAAACGAAAATGTGTCTGTGTCTCACATGGTCTCATGGCTAAAGTCTCCCAACCGCTTGATCCGAAAATCAGATCGTAGGAGCAGCGATCGATCCCATCTCGTATCCCGAACCTTGAGCACAAGGGTGCCAAGCGATGTGACATGCCGGCCTTGCCAGTGCCAGGGTAGGTACCCAACAACTCCTTGGACGTAGCAATGTCTCCTAAACCTGAGTTCATCGTTCGTGGTGATAACAGAGCATACCAAGCGGCATGAAGGATAAGTTTGTGTCAAAGTAGAGCCTTGCTGGTCGTACAGAGTAACCACCCATTAACCCCGTCTATGCCTTCTCTAGCTGTGCTACGCAATACATCTTTTCACATATGGCGACATTCATGGGGCATCACCAACGCGGCTGTCAAGGGCACGTATCCCAGCCGACTGAGCACACAGCCGATGCCGCCGGCGTTTCTACATGTAGTCGAGTGTTGTGACCAACAAACTCCGCTCCAGCGGCCGTCACAAAACCGAGAGCCAGTAGCAGTGGCAGGCTGGATTGGAGCAGCACGGCCCTGAAAAAAAAAAGCAAGTTGAGGTGAGTGACATTGATGGCCTCATAGAGAATGGGCCCATGTGCCTGTATCCCTATTTCGGTAGCAGGGTCCTGGGATGTGGTTGTCGGTCACCCTGGCCGCATCATCACAGTGTCATCAGTTCCACAAGCCAACACGGGGCGTTGCTTTCAATGGCAGCACGGTCCGTCAATAGCAACTATAGTGGTTTTCTTTTGTCCACGAGTTCAAACCCTCGTCGATGGGCGCGTCGTCCCAGGGTCTACAATAATTGAGCCAATTTCGCCTGGCCAACTTGTTTAGACGGAACACTGGGGCTAGAATGTCCAATACACAACCCTTTCCCCATATCGCATCCATTGGGACATTGCCACACGGACCAGCCGCTGGGCTGTGTGTGTGTGTGTGTGTGTGTATCCTGTGGCTCACGGTGGCGGCTCACCGAGGCGGCCGGAACGATTTGTCCGTCTCCAGCCTCATTACGGCCCTCATGGTCGGCCACTCCAGCGGTACCACGTGGAACGGGGATGATGGTTGCAACGCCCCCTCTTTATGAAGGCGAAAAATAAGAAGAAGCAACAAGAATCTGGAGACTTTGGGCCGGAATTGTGCGGGCTCCAACAAGGGATAGACAGAGAGGAACCCGGAGGAAAAAAAATCTGTTAAGATTTCGGCGGGACCCCGGGATGCATGTGAAGCGGACATTAACTGGCTTTCCCCTGCAGCGGGGAGACCGCTTGCAGCACCTGTCGGAACAAAGTGAGCACTCCTCGGTCCCCATCCCCACCGAGACGGCCTCCACAGTGGGTCATTTTTGAGGGAGGCCCTTGCCCCTGCTCCTTCCATCTCTCGCCTGGGCCAGAGGAGCAGACAGCCCACAGGCGGCGAACTTGGCCGGAGTTGGCTTGGCCTCGGCCAGACTCGGCCCACCCCGCCGCCCATGCGCTCGCCCTGAGGCTGAAAGGGGAGAGCAAGGCCCTGGCCTGGACTTTGAGGCCCGGCGGGTGTGCACGGAGAACGAGAGGGGGGAAGGGGGGAGAAGTGCACCGACGGGATGGCACGGCGAGCGCCCAATAGCCCGAGGCAGGCGAACAAGGCACCACCTTACCCCCAGCACCTACCCAGCAGCCCGTCGGGAAGATTTGCGTCCAAAGGTCTGGAGGGAGGGGAGCCTCATTCAAAGAATGAAACGCAACGAGGGCTAGCCAAGCTCTCAGCCCATCTGTCCATCCATGTCCATCATCCATCATCCCAACTACGGGTTGGCAGGTCTCCATGCAGGACGCCTCGCATATATGCCTCATGCCGGCAGAGAGGCTGGGCTGGTTTTGCTGCATACAGAAGGTAGATAGTAGATGCCTGATGACCAGGAAGAAAAAAAAAGGACTGAGAAAGAGTGGCGCACCCAGCCAATGGTAGCAGACGCCGAATGGTTCACGGTGGTTTGAAACATTGTTTTCCCAAACCCCGCACCTGCCGTCCCATCCGTCCAGCTGTTCCTCCTGGTGGGTCGCCCAGATAGAGCGTGCTTGGCAGATGTCTAGATGCCATGGAGAGATGGCCTAGGTAGATGATCTGGAAACGGGGACACAGAACCTCGTGATCCCTTGGGCTACCTGACGGTCGTGTTCTCGAATGTCATGGCTTCGTCAGCAACGGCTAAAGTCGAGAGGGCCGACGCTATTGACGGCTCGATTCCCAGAACCGGTCAAGCGCCCGCCCCGGAAGAGCGGGGAGGGTTTAGCCACCACCACCACCAACGACAACACAAAACGAGTAGAGCTGCGGCGTGCCTGCGTCGTCCCCGCTGATTGATTACTCCGACGGCGCAGCTCGCTTGTTTCGTCTCCTCCTACCCAATAGGGTCCAGCCCCGGATCTCCCAGCCGAGGCTTCGCCGATCCCCTCAGTGGTGCTTGTCTGGAGCGCCTGGTATCCTCCTCGCCCCCTGCCGCCACGCGCTGCTGCTGGTGCTGAAATCCTTCCTGCGGTGACTTGCCGTATCAGGGGTCGAGCCCTTTCCCCCCCCACCCTGTGCATGACACCTATAACACGTGCTATTAAAGGTGTGGACCCCTGCGGGTTGAGAGGGCTGTGGACTGGGGTCGGGGAAGGAAGCTGTGTGGATGAGCGACGGGTGGGAGTCCCCAATCTGTGGCTCTCCCACTTTTTTTTCTTCTTTGTTTGCTGTAGGACGTGACGCTCCTGTCAGCCGATCTATTTCGTAGATTTTTTTCCCCTTCCCCAGGATGATCCTTAATAATAGATTAACTGCTGGTGGACCCGCTGCACATAAATGCCTCGATAAGCCATCTATAGCGTCGGCCATCCTTCTTGCCTTTGAAGCTATTCAGGAGCGCGCTGTGGTGGCCCGAATGGGAACGCGCGCCGAGGCTTGGCAGTTGTTTTTTTTTTTTTTTTTTTTTAGTTTCGGCCGCGTCGAGAAATTCGCTCGCAGGGGTATTTGGCGTCCGTGGGGGAAAACCGGGGGGCTTGAGAAAAACCCACGTGAACCTAGTGCAGATAAGGGGGCGGCAGTTCTATCATTGTCCTACGCACAGAGCTTCTGGCCCCTCTCTTGCTCAAGCGAGTTCTCTCTTTCTCTCTCGCTCTCTCCTAACCGGCAAGCTCAAACAGACCTGCCCGTCGGCGAGACACGACAGATGCGGCTTCCCACTCGAAGAAAGGGTCCCCTTGTGTTTGTGCTACCCCCTTTTTCCCTCTCTCTCCCTCCCGTTATTTTGAGATTTTGCCTCTTGAAGCTAAGCCACCAAGACTCTCGACCCCTCAGCTATGTTGACTCGAGCAGGACGGGAAGCGCACCTCAAGTGGCCCCCCGCCCCTGGCCGAGTCGTGCAGGACCGGGTTGGAAGTGCCTGCTCCCATGGAACAGGCCGGGCTCGAGCAGGGAAATGTCGGCCGGCACTTGGATTCGGTTGCCCAACACAAAGGACCGGGACCAGAAATGGAGCCATCTGGAAGGACTGACTCGGAAGATGGCATCATACCTGGTTGTAGACAATGAGCAAAGCCCTCGAGCATCGACTTAACATGGCACAGACGGGCAGATAAAGAGTGGGGTGGATCGGAACGCCTCCCCCAAGGCCGGGGGAACACGACGATGAGGTTGTGAGGCGGTTCGATGAGGCGGGGGGTGGTGACACAAGTCTATCCAGGGCTTGACCAGTATCCGGACCCAGATATGCAAACACTCAAAAAAGCTTCCGGCAAATACGAGCCATACTTACTTTTTGTCCTACACTGCTTGCCGGCTGGTGTTTGCTGTATACATTGATCTCATCTTTCTTTTTTTTCCTTTTTTCTCCGTTTTCTCACTCTATCCCTTGCTAGACCTCCCGTGCTCCCGATCTGCACGGCCGATTTCGGCATAAATGCATGCAGGCAGGCAGACGATGGCCCAACCCCAGCGCCGGAGCTTTTTTTTCTCTCTCCCCTCTTTCTTCTTGTTTTTCATTTCGACTCTACCCGCTTTGCTTGGCTCCGGCAACGACTCGTAAAAGACCGCTGAGTAAAACCCGCACTCAGAAAACCCGACTGAGAGCCCAGCCCACAAGGCCGTACCTAGGAGCATCCCCGACACCGCATGGGTCAAGGCCCTTTTGTTTTGTTTCCATCCCGTCCTCGTGAGGCCAAGCCAATCTGGGCAATGGAGTGGTTCGTCCCATGTACACATACAGATACCTATATTGGGGAGGGGGGAGGGGGGAAGGTAGGCGCACGTTTCAGGGCGTGCAAGGCAGCTTAACAACCTCCTTGACGGAGGCGGCTTTCGGGAGAATCAGTCGGCTGACATGGCTGGCGCCCTCGCTTCTGCCCGCCGCCGCATCAAACCCCGCATGTTCACAGCCATGAATGGATGCTGTGCATATGCAGAGGGGCCGTCACGCCCAAAAAGGGGGCTTGAGCGCTCCAATGCTTGGCGGCTGCGTCGTCGTGATGGCGTGCGTGACCGGGATGGGGGAAGCAATCGAGGTGGTGATATCCCCCCTCTCCTCATGAACTCGGCAGGGTCGACGGCTGAAAGGCGACAGGCCAATCGCATTACAATTCGTTGCCGCCGGCCGGATATCACAGCACAGCACACAAGCCCAGAGTCGAGGGAAACAGGCACGATCCCGGGGGGAGGGTCTTTGCGGATGCCACCCCGCGGCATAACGCAATGAGCCGCCGGCATAGAGGAGGCAAACCGGGACCGTTCGCTGCAACGGTCGCACCCGCGCCCTCAATGAAAACCTATATCGAGGACGGGGTGTTTGTTATCAAGAAATAAAACAAAAACAAGAATAAAACGCCATAGGCATATAGATGGGGCACGGCCGGGATAGATAAGGTCCAGGCGGAAATCTGCCCTGCAAGAGTCGGCAGCAAGTCATCGCCGGCACTTGAAAGACGGGCCATGCCTCCAGGTTCCAAGATGGCATCGATAACCACCAGAGTAGGACCAGACACGGACCAGCCAGCCAGAACCCAAGTGAAACTCACCAAAGCGGGCTGTATGCGGTTTACCTGCTCAGCACACGTGGCTAACGCCCTGCCCCATCCCCTCAGTCCTTCTCCCCGCCGCCACACGAGAGGCTACTGGTGGATGACTCCACGGGCGGTGGGGGGAGGGGGGAGGGGGCTATATGTGAAGCATTATCTGTAATATTACTCTGAAAACAACCTTATCTCGACACTGCAGTGCGTGCTGCAGCGGCGCTGTGGGGGATGTGGTAGCGACTGTTGCACTCACCTGCTTGGCAATCAGAGAGGTTGACTTGTCGGGGAATGAGTCTAGGGACCTGTGCCGTCCCTTCGCGGTGGGGATAACGTAAACGGCCCTTTTCCAGGCGGCTTTAGGGTCGAGTCTGCTCCAGACCTACACCACACGCCGAGGGCCCGTAAGCCCTGCGGCCGCTCTCCCGTCCCTCGTTGGTGGACAAAATCACGACCTGCAGTAGTGAAGTTTCTGTTGCTCGATCGCTTCGCGGCAGGGGAATGGAGAAGGGTACCGTTGCATCTTTACATGTCAGCTCGCGCCGCCTCCACAACCTGCCAGACCTGCCTAGGTACCTTGGCGCGATGCCCAGGTGCGAGGCAGGTCTGCTGTGCCTTTGATGGTGACATCGTCTCCTTTCTTTGGCAGTCACACTGGCGTCTTGCCCCAATCTCCTCCTGGCCCCCGCTTGCCCTGCCGCCCACCGGTGCTCACGAAACAGAAAGATGTGATTTAAAATACTCGGGGGTTGTACGTTGTGGTGTGGACCCCTCTAGAGATAAAATCAAAAATCGATACAGAGATCCCAATCGGATGGGACTGTGCTGAGGTGGCACAGTTCCCGGGCAATGTAGCACCGCACTGTGAGGCGCACGGCTCTCCATGTCACCCTCTCCAGGAAGCCCAGCCGGTGGTGGCTGCCGTTTACCTAGCAATTTTTGCGCACCGACCTCGTCCCTCTCCTCCCTGCCGGAACAGAGGCCCATCGGGATCCGGCACCAAAAAGGGCTCCTGCTGTGCTGACCCAAATGGGGCAGAGGAGGCAGCACGGTTCCACCAGCCGCGGCAGGCAAGGCGAGCACCCTTATTTCTCTACTAGGTTGCTACTCGACGCTCGCCCGGCCAACAACTGCACGTTCGGGCCTGGCACCTGGGGAACCTGGTAAGTAGCACGCACCTATATGCAGACCAACTTGGGCAAGCCATCACCGACGGATTGGCGGTGTGAGCCGCTGCAGAGCAACAGACGGGCCCTCCGGGGCCACTGGAAATGAGCAATAGCGCCTTCCGCCGCCCTATGGAGCTAGCTGCCGATTGTGACGACGGACGGACGGACGTGGGGGGCCCCAGGCGGTGCGGAGTAGGTAAAGTTAACAGGAGCCTCATTTTGCGGGCAGCAAGGACCAGCCCCGTCGGATATCGATTCTCCACGACCTCACTATAGCAGACTAGATGCGGTGCAAAGCAAGTAATAATAATAATAGTAATAAAAAACAGCAAAGGCATCCGTGGCTCACGCAAGATGTCTTCCCACCGACACCGACACCGACTCCTCTCAGGTCTGTCGAAAACCCCACGACCCCTTGCTTTGCCGTGCCCTTTCCAGGGCGAAGCGAGATGGTGCAGGACGGGTTCCCTAGTCTGCAGCGAGTCTAGACCTGAACACGAGGGCCCAGGGGAGGGGGGCAGCGAAGCCCGCCAGGCAGGATGGATTTTGCATCTGGATCCCGTTCCACAACACGCACACGTCCCGCGAAGTTCGATTATTCTATCGCTTCTCCAGCACCGGGCGGCGCACGCTGCAGGCGAGGTGGCGGCCGATGGATGGAGAACAGCGCGAATGTGGAGCCGGATAGGTCATTTATTCTCTCTCTTCTTCTTCTTGTTGCATCATCACTGGTCACCCTTGTCCCGTCTGTCCTACAGAAAGAGCGTGCATGAGAGACATTTTCCAACCCGCGTTGCCGGGGCGAGACACGGTCCCCAGATACGTGCAGGAAACCCTCTGCCGACCCTCCTGCAAGGGGCAAAATGCAAGACACGACAGCATGCAGCCTGAAAAAGCCTTCGCACCCGCTTTGCCGTGAGACATGCGAGAGTCTGACGGCCAGCTTAGATACGCACGGCAGCCAGTCCAAGACAAGGCCTTGTGTCCCGACTGTGGCAACTTTTACCTTTCTATAATCAAAATAACAACAACTGCAGCGTTGTTGACTCTGTTCTTCCCCACCATTTCGACGGCAGCTGCCCTCCCGACATTGGCCGAGTTTGGAGTGGGGGAGAAACCTTGCGGGCTGACATGGGTCGTTGTCAAAACAAAAAAAAAAAAACCGGCTAAGTGTTGCTTTGTGTTGCACTTTTAACTGGCTGCCCAGCCCAGCCAAAGAATCCGGGCCATCCGTCGTGATGCCGGCCGACTAGGCATACGACATTGTTTGCCACGAAGACGCTGGCGCGTTTCGGACGGAGGGGGGGCGAAATACCAGAAAAAACACAAAGTCGCGGTTTGTCCTATCTTTCATGAGATCAAGGTCAGGACCCCTGAGAGGATCCATCATGCAAAACGAGCCATCAGCGAGGTCGAGAATCTTCGGGATTCTTCCGTGTCGCGTCGTCTTCTCCATCTGCCGGATGATGTGATGAGCCCCCGTTCGCCGCCATAGCCGCATTCCAGACGACGACAGGCTCCGGTACAGGCATGACGACCTGATCTTCACATTCGTTTGCCTCTTTTGCCCGAACCGACGTGCCCTCCCTCTCCTCCTGCATGGGTTGACCTCGCCGGCTCTTCCGTACGCGATAATGGCAAGAGAGAAAAAAAAATGGCAGGGCAGCAGGCGGGTGTCGATCATAGACGGCCGGCTCACTGCTCCGTAACCTCGAGATCCCGCACGATGCTGGGCTTTGGGGTTTCAACGGCCCACCCGCCGTGGGTACCTTGGCCCCTCCTGTCGTCAATCTCGCCTGCGCAGCGTGATATGATATTACCGTTGTCAATCATTAGCCGCTCGGACCTCCCTCATGCGTCTCACGGCTATTTTTTTGTGTTCGAGGACGCTGGACTGTGGGGGCACGGAGGTAGTCAACCATTGCCCAGGCTCGACCAGCCGCTTTTGTGTGGGTGTCTTGAGACAATACAATATTGCAATATCCCACCCTCAACGTGAAAAGAAAACGACAGTGAATCTATTACAGCAAAGAAACAGCAAGGAAAATGATCGCGACCATGTTTGGGTGCGGCTGGGCATCTCCGGTTGAAGATTCATGCACCTGCACTTTACCTTGATGTTCAAGTGGCAAGCAAAAAATGACGAGTCAGCGGACCAGGGCAAAAGTTGATGAATATGACTCGGACTGACCTGGCAAGAAACATGGAGACGACCGAGACCGCGACAAGAACGACGGCTGATTGGGACCTGTCGGGGTTGCCGCTGGCAAACCAAACCCAGGCGGCGGGCAAAAAGCTCATCACTCCTCGCTCGATGCTTTGCTAGCGCTGGGCGCTGGTGGTTTCCAAACCACCTTACCACGGTGCCCGGAAAAAAGTCTGGACCGCAATTTTTTTTCCCCACCCAAACTTTACCTTTCCCACTACAATACAATATGCCCGCGCCGCACTCCACACCT